CACCTGGCTCGCACAGTTTTACGTGAGCAATGGGGAACTTTCTTGCATGCTCTACCAGCGCTCATGTGACATGGGCCTTGGCGTCCCATTCAACATTGCCTCCTACGCCCTCTTGACCATCCTCATCGCAAAGGCGACGGGGCTGCGGCCGGGAGAGTTGGTGCACACCCTTGGTGACGCTCACGTGTACAGCAATCACGTCGAGCCGTGCAATGAGCAACTGAAACGTGTGCCACGTGCCTTTCCGTATCTTGTGTTTCGCCGCGAGCGCGAGTTCCTGGAGGACTACGAGGAGGGTGACATGGAGGTCATTGACTATGCGCCATACCCTCCCATCTCCATGAAGATGGCGGTTTAGTCATTTAGGAAAACCCTTCAAATCGTGCGCGCCAGAAACGGGGAGCCGAAAGTAGTACGTGGGGACCGTAAAAAGGCGATACGAAGAGACGGACGTTGAAGAGGGCCAATGAAGTGGACACAGCCAGCATAATTTCTTACATAGACACAGAAATGCATATATATATATAGACAGACGTGCAACGGAAATATGTACACGTCTGGGGGGAAAAAATGGTAAAACACATGCGTTTGTATGCATAAACATATGGCATTATGGGCTGATTGAAGAATAACGGTCAACAATACACGAGGGGTTTTTGGTTTTATTTTGTTTTTGTTTTTTAAAGTTACTTTGCGGAACTCCTTGGTTTTTTTTGTTTTTTTTTTGGGGTGGGTGGGGGAAAATGGATGATGTCTGCTTCATATATATATATGTTATTTATATATACATTTGTATTTGAATTCCAACGTCCGATTGTTTTTTTTTTTTTTTTTAATTTTATTTCTTAAAAACTCTCATTGCATGGCTGTTTTTGCAGAATCTTGTGGAAGGGGGGACAGTGGGTGAGTGGGTGGGTGAAGACAACACACACACACAAGGAATTAATTAAATAAATATTTGCTCACCGCCCCCAAATAATAATAATAATAATAATAAAAGCAGCGGGAAGGCGGAAGTAAAAAACGAAAAAAAAAGGGATATTTGAGATTAATAAACGGCAACGGGAATAATAAGAGAGGAGACTGGAATCATACGCAAACTAAGTTACACACGAAAAGGAGTATATTGACGCCTCTTGAAGGGAGAAGACAAGATGCCTGCAAGGTGGCATAATAAAAAGAAGAAAGGGTCGAATGGCCACAAGCGGCCTCCCACCGGAGGCAACGGGAGCGCGGCGCGGCGTGACATTGGCTTCATTCCCCCCGGCGCTTCCGCTATCCAGAATTCGTCGGCACACTACGCGGATACCTTTATGTACCGCTTTCCACAAAATTTTCCTGTTCCAGGGCGTCTGCGGCATGCGCCAACTTCACTCGTGGAGGCGGTGAACGACTTTCACTTTGCCATGATGAACGACCAGCCCCGCAATGAATTTTATTATGAGCTCCTGAAACGTCATGTGACACCCGAAACGGGTGTCTTGGAGATTGGTGCGGGCTCGGGCCTCTTGTCGTTAATGGCCGCTCAGTTGGGGGCAAAATGGGTCGTGGCTGTTGAGGGGAGCGCTGAGATGGCAAATTTGGCACGCGCCAACATTTGTGCAAACAAAATGGAACACAAAGTGACCGTTTTGCACATGTTGAGTACAGAACTGACACTGCGTCATTTGCCAGATAGACCGGATGTCATGGTGTCGGAGATTCTTGGGACGCTGCTATTAGGGGAGTCGGCTCTCGACTATATTGCCGATGTACGTGAGAGGTTGCTGAAGCCAACGACGAAGATTATTCCACAGCATGGAACACAGTACGCGGTTCCGATAGAGTGTGACACACTGCGGGATGTGTGTGCGGTGTCGGGATGGAAGGGACTTGACTTGAGCCACATGACCGCACTACAGGACACTGTCAGCATTGTGTTTGCGAAGCAGTACGGCTTTCGCATGAGCAGTGTTCCCTTCCGCCGCCTGAGCGAGCCGATAGCCCTCTTCTCCGTGGATTTTGCGTCCGCTGTTCGTCGTGACATCCCCATGAATTTGAAATTAGATGTCAAGGCAACTAGTAGCGGGACGGCACATGCGATGTTGTACTACTGGAAGGCTTTTGATGACGATCTTGTCATGTCGACAGATCCGGCTGACACGCTTAACAACTTCCCGCGTGATATGCAGTGGGGTCAGGCGTTGCAGCTACTGGATGCTGCCAACGGCCCGTTTCCAACGCCGGTTGTATTCACAGAGGGGGAGGAGCTCAAATTCCAGTGCCACTTTTCCTCGGATCGCGTGACGGCTCATATCCATCTGTGTCCCACGGCAGAAGCAGCAGCATCACCAGCAAAGACAACACCAACAGATAATGATGCGATAAAAACCGAAAACGAGGCATGTGAGAAGGTGAATAAGGGCAAAAAATGAGAACTCATAGAGGTATAGAAGGAGAGGTAATATACACAAGAATAAGAATAAGAAAATGAAAAAAAAAAAAGGGATGCGTTGTGTGTTAGTGGTAAGGGGGCTACTCCTTGTGGAGTTGTGGGCTCTTCATTCTTGTTTTTTTTTTTTTTTCCAGCTTATTGGCTAATTTGTTTATATACATCCCGTGTGCGTGGCTGATGTTGATGCAAGAATACAACCGTCCATGAATGTTGTCTGTATTTCCGCAGCGTCCTGTTTTTGTCAGTTCTTTTTTTTTTTCTTCTACTTTTGTCGTGTTTTGGTTAAACGATGGTCTTTACACTAAATCGCTTTGATTTTCCACTTCTTCGCGGCTTCGCTTTTATTTTCATTTTATTTTTTTTTGCCCAGTTTACATCTTGCCCCTCTATATTTTTATGCGCAATAAATATTATGATGCCTTGAGGCAGCGAGACGTACTAAACATATGTATGTATATATATATGTTTTCTCTGCATGTGGTGTACTACTGGTTCTATCCATGTGTGCGTGTGTGTAATACGCCTGAACTGTCTGCGTGGTGGTTTCTCTGGTGGGGGACCACTTTTTTTTTTTTTTCTTGCACCCATTTTACTTTTTGGTTTGGGGTCCCTGCCTGTGGATGACACTGTGTGTCCATCTGTGGGGATCAGTGGAGGGGGAGGGACCAAGGAAAAACAACAGAAAACAAAACGAGAAGGGAGGTGCACATCCGCCCAGGTGGTGGGGGGTGGGAGCGGTGTTTCCGGGAGAAGAGTTTTACCAGATGGGCGGCCTGTTCACACGGTTCATTCCTTTTATGTGTTTTGACAGGAATGATGATGCGGAGGGAATGCAAGCGACACCACCGCCCCCGTTTGATGTAGGTGTGGCGCTGGAGGAGGTGCCACCCGATGTGTACCTGAAGCGTGAAACCGCGATCAAGCCGAGCATCCCAATCACTGGGAAGCAGTTCCTCACGCTGCAGGAGCACATACCGCCGCGATTTCAAGGCCGACGCTGGCGTCTTTTATTTTGCAGCGGCCTTCACGGATTTTCGCGTCTTGCGCTACAGCAAAACTGCGCTGAAGAGATTAGGAGTGCGCGGGGTAACGAGCGACCTGCGGTTTTAATAGTTTCCGCTGGAAGTGAAGGGAAGATACTGCTGGGGGCGTACATTTCCTGCATCCCACAGACGTCAAACAAGAAATACGTCGGGACCGAAGAAAGTTTTCTTTTCTGCGTGCCGTCACCGTCTTCTTCCTCGTCTGCTTTGTCGTCGTCGGATGATCTTCACATCTTTACGGCCCCTGCAGATGCCGCGAATCGTTACTTTATGCGCTGCGACAACGGTGCTATTGCTTTTGGGGGCGGTGGCAAGGGCCCCGCACTCTTTCTTCACTCAGATTTTGCTAGTGTGTCTTGCAGCACGTTTTGCCCAACGTTTGGCATTCGTGAATCCCTTCTTCTGCTCAACGCACGGCCAGGGGGGGATGGGGATGCTGCGGTTTTTGATCTGCCAAATGACGTGCATTTGGAGGGTGGTGAGCCGACGACATCTGTGCGGGCGGTTCAGCTTTGGACTATAGGCGATGAGTACTTTTCGCTCTTGTAGAAAACGAAAAAGGAGCAATGGAAGACATGCGGAAGAAAAAAAGGAGCGTTGAGGAGAGGGATGAAGGGGCTGCGTGTTAACAAGACACGGAAACAAGCGTCCACAAAGCATGGCACCGTTATTTCTCTTTTTCCTTCTTCATTCTTTTTTTTTTTTGTTGTTTGCACTTACCCATATGTTTACCCTTTATTCCTTCTGCCTTTTATTTTTTTCCCCTGGATTTGGGCTTGCCGTCGTCGCTGTTTTTTTCTTTTTTAATTTACCCCGTCTTCTATTCATGCCTTTTAACTTTGAAACGCACGACCGCAAGTTGTGTTTTACGGCCCGTCACGGCAGTTGTGCCGAAACAAAAGGAGAAATAAATTTGTCGGTGGAACAAAGGAGAAGAAGATACACAAGGGAAGAAAAGCGCGTGTGTCTGGGGCCATGTTTCGTCATGCATCGCACATATTCATGCGGCGTACTGCGCGCCGCCTTTCGACCGCAGGTGCCACCGGCCCTGGCATCTGCTTTGAGCTCTCTGAGCAACAAAAGGAGGTCCGGGATCTCGCCCACCGCTTTGCCAAGGAGAAGATAATCCCGGTCGCTGCCAAGCTTGACCAGACAATGGAGTATCCACACGATCTCTTCAAGGAGGCGTGGGAGCTTGGACTTATAAACATGCATATTCCACAGGAATACGGCGGGTTTGGCGCTTCTTGCCTGGAGGGTGTAATTGTGCATGAGGAGCTTTCATGGGGCTGCTCCGGCATCTCTACAGCTTTTGAGGCGAACAATCTTTCCCAGGCACCTGTCATCATCGCTGGTAACGACGCCCAAAAGAAGAAATTTCTTGGGCGCATGTTAGAGGAACCACTGAAATCGGCGTATTGTGTTACGGAACCCGGGGCCGGCTCAGACGTGGCGGCGATCAAGACTTTTGCAAAGAAGAAGGGTGATGCGTATGTGGTTAATGGGCAAAAAATGTGGATAACGAACGGTGGCGTTGCGAACTGGTACTTTTTGCTTGCCAACTCGGATGAGGGATTTATTGGTTTTGTGGTGGATGCGAACACACCGGGAATTACACCTGGGAAAAAGGAGATCAATATGGGCCAACGCTGCAGTGACACGCGTGGGATTGTCTTTGAGGATGTTGTCATTCCCGAGGCAAATGTACTTGGAAAGCCTGGGGATGGGTTTAAGATTGCGATGCGTGCCTTTGACTTTACTCGTCCGCCTGTGGCAATTGGCGCGGTGGCTGTCGCCCAACGCGCGATGGAGGAGGCGCGGGACTACGCCAATCAGCGTAAAGCGATGGGAAAATATGTTTCGGAGCATCAATCGATTGCGTTCATGTTGGCAGACATGGCTGCTGGGATTGAGGCGGCCCGTTTGTTGGCGTATCGCGCCGCCTGGGAGGTTGACCAGGGCCGCTCCAACACGTACTACGCGTCATCTGCAAAGCTATTTGCTGCTGAGCATTGCGAGAGGTGCGTGACGGCCGCTGTGCAGATATTTGGGGGAAACGGCTTCAACACGGGTTATCCCGTGGAGAAATTGTACCGAGACGCAAAGATCTTTTCTATCTACGAGGGAACGAGTCAAATTCAACGTCTTGTGATCAGCCGCCATGTGATTGGAAGGAGGTGAGCAATTTTCTTTCTTTTCCTTTTTGCCCTTTCAATTCAATTTTGGTGCCTGCATCCACATGAAGGCTTAAAAAATGGGGTCACTGTCCCTTGTCTCTTTTCTCTTTTTGTCCTTGGATCCTTTTTGCGTAAATGCGTGTCATGTTTAGGCGTATATGTATTTGAAGGAACTTAATTACCTACTGTTCTTTTTTTTTTTTTTTTTTTGAACCGTATATGGATGATGTTTAGGGTTGGATGAGGGCTGGGGCCGGTGGTCTTGTTTCGAATCTTGTTGCTCGCACCTACCGATGGGGCAAAATTAAAGGCGTGCTTATAGAAGGAGCTCCATTGAAAGACAAACACACACAAGGAAAAAAGAAGAAGACGAGGAACAATGAGCGAACGGGTGAGTGAGAAGGTGCTTATAGAAGGGGTATATGTTCTGTGTGTGTGTGTGTGTGTGTGTGTATTGGGAGGCTCAATGAAGGGTGGTATAAATTTACTTGTGTGGTTGTTGAGAGGGGGAGGGGCTTCTTTCTCTCTTTCTTTCTCTCTTCCGTTTCTTTGTGCTTTTTTTTTTTTTCTGTATTTGGTGGCGACGCGTGGGGAGAGGGGAATTTGGGGATTTATTGACACTGCTAGGCATGTGAAGAGGGCGCTTTTATTTTTTTTTTTTTTGGATCCCTTTTAGTTGACGCATTGCTATCGGCGCATTTTTTTTCTTTTTTGTTGACGTGTTGGTGTTGCCTACGGGCAATTCGGTTTCTCTCAAATTTTGCTGTTCCCTATCAATGCTAAGGGGACGAAAAACAAAAACAACAACAAATTGTTGCTGCTGTTTTGGTTGGAAGTGCGTGAGGGACATGCATGCATGTTTTTCCGCGGTGTAGTGCTGTATGCCATAATAATACACGGCTTTTTTCCCTCCTTCTCCCCCCCTCTCTCTCTCTCTGTGTGTGTGTGTGTCTTGATTTGGGTCATCTTCAGTAGGATTGGGCGGGAGGAACCGGTGAGGGAGAAGGGAAGGGAGCAGTTTTGTAGGATAGAGGGGTGGCGTGTCAATATCTGCTTGTGGGCAAGTAGGCATGGGTAACTGCTGTCGCCGTTCTTTCCCTAAAGAAGGTGATGGTGATGATGATGCTGCGGTGTTGCGGCTGACACCGCGGCAACGATTGCTTGCGTTATTCGGCATGCACGCCCCGCATTTGCTGAAGGATGTTGACGACATTTTGCGAGACTACAATAATGATGGCATGTGTGCCGTGAGTTACTACTGTGCCTTTCTGGGGCCAGAGCCAAAGCTTCATGAGGCGAAGCAGATGTACACCACACACTTGACTGAAGGTGATATCGCACTGCGAAAACTCATTTATGGGCTGCTGATAAAATATGACCCGACGCGGATCGTGGAATTGGAGTTGATTGTACGGGCACACGAGGAGGAGGCGAAGAGGGGCGGGAAGGAAACGGCAGCGGGTTTTATACAACGACTGGAGGAGCAATATTTGGGAGGGCTTGTGGGGGAGGCGCCGGCTCCGCCGCTGCCGCTGCAGGATTTCGAGTGCTCCACGACAGGGGCGTGCAAGACACCGCAACCGCCCACATGTTATCCCTCAGCAGCGGCAGCGACGGATGACATGTCTGCCCCTTTTTCTGCTGCGACTTTGTTTTCTACGGCCACCACCGCGCTTTCGATGAGTGCGCACGCCTGGCGTGGGGGGAAGAGAGGCGGGGCCAGCGGCAGTGGTGATGGGGATTTTCTTCGCGACTTTGATGACATCCTTGCCCGCTCCCGCAAAGCGGATTTCTCGATCCTCCTCCCTTATCGACCGCCCGCACTTCTGACGCCGTGGGCGACGGGCTAAGCGGTGGAGGTGTGGGCTTCACAATGACGACAGGGAGAAGAGAAGAAATAAAAGCGAACAAAAATGTGCATTTATTTTTGACTTCCGTCGGTTTTTTTTCTTCTTCTTTCTTTTGCTGGTTTTTTTCGGTTTGTGTGGGATCTCAATTTGTTTCGGTGAACTGATGGCTGTGGAGAGAGGCTGATGCGGATGACACGATAAAACTGTTCACGCATCTCCACCGTTACCCACCGATTTATAAAACAAACACGAAACCAACTTTTCTTTTTTTCTTTTTTTTTCTTTGCCTTTTTTCTTTTTTTTGCATAAATATACACACATGTGTGTGCAGTACTGCAGGACGGCTATTTTTCACTCTCCTTGCAAGACAAACGTTCACTGTATAATACAAATATATATTGGTTTATATATCCAAGAGAAAAAGGGAGAGAAGGAAAGAAAAGAGGGTGAGGAGAGTCGACATCTGTGGTATACACACAAGGTCTAACACATAAACAGCTGCATACTTTATTCGTTTGTGTTTGTAGGTTTCTGCACCGTGTCATAAGAAGGGGAAAGGGGAGGGGTGATGCACAATGCAGGGGGAGTTTTTATTTTCTGTCCCACAGATACGGGAAATAGACATGGATTCCACGATTAGCAAGGAGAGCTGCAGTAGTATTGCTTCGTCCAGATGCACGTCGGTATCGTCTGGCGGCCCACGGTCGGGTTCGCGGCGACTTCGCAGAGGTGTTTTGTCGGAAAAAGAGAGAAAACGCCGTCCGACCTCTCGGAAGAACTACGCCGATCACGTGCCGATGTTTCGAAACCCGCGACGCCCGACGACTATTCTGCTTGAGCCCTTTCCCAACCGCCGACTGCGTTCCATGTGTATTGCGGGGGGATTGCTCGTGACAGCACATCGAAACGGCATTCGTGTATACCGTCAACGTTATCTTACTGCGTCAAATACGGCGAGTGCCAGGAGTTGTGGCGGCACATGTGACGGGGAAAACAATTGTGTGGGTGGCAATAATCCTTCCGACATGCGTACGGGGATGTGGGAGGCCGTTGAGAGCAGAGATAGTTTCCAGCTTCAGGATGCGTATCTGTGTGTCGGTGCGGAGCTGGTATTTAGCCGGGAACGCGTCCTTCCGCTGAAGTGGAATCGATATCTGGCCGTGGCATGTGGTAGCGACCGCACTCATTTTAGCATTTGTGTATTGAGCACCGCTGCTCACTTTTTGCTTCACCACGAGTTGCACGCAAAGAACAGGGTGGTGGCGCTTCATTTTGCTCTTGTTGCGATGGATGCGAAACCGGGCAGTAGACATTACCAGCCGTTTGTTGTGAGTGTGGATGAGGTGGGTGAGGTGGTCATCTTTGACGTTGAACATGATCATGCGGTGAAGCTGATTGCACCCACATCCACGCCTGTTTCTGCGTCTCCGCCCACCAATGGGACGCTCACTGATGACAGGAATGAAGAAGAATCTCCGGACGCCATCTTCTGCGAGGAAAATAGCAACAGGAAGGATAATAAAAGTAACAACAACAGCACCGGCGAGGATGGTGCGGGTGATCGCATTGGCGGCGACGATGCCCCGCCTTTTTCTTCCAATAAGAATAACGGAACGTTAAGATCGCGGGGCAAAGATATTGCTGGTGATTGTGGAGGCAAGGATAATGGTACCGGCTCTGTGCTGCGATCATATCGTCTTGATGCCGGTATGGCTACAAATGTCTGTCTCCTTGGCCCTTGCCAGGTTTACTGCAGGCAATGCTGCGACGTGCCCATCGAGCCTGGGAATCTTGTCATGAGTATTTACATCTCCTCGCGTGCTTATGGTGCGGAGGGACAGGCGGAAATGCACGTTTCGCATTTCCGCTTCCGCTGGTGTTTCTCGCCACCACGAGCCATCGTGCTTAGCGAGACCCCCATTCTGCGGGAGGGAGCTCCGGAGGATGTATGCGACATTGGTGTTGCAATGATGCGTGTTCCCTTTCACGAGGAACTGCCGCTGAGCTTTACGATTGGCCGGCCGCGACTTCGTTTTTGGAGTCTGAGCGGCTGTACGGGAAAGCTCCTACATCTTCACCGCGTATATCATGATAAGGACGGGAGTGGAAAGGGAGCACGAACAGTGAAGGAGCATTTTCTGCGTGTGGTGCCGCTCGGTCGTCATATCTTACTGCAAGACATCAACACCTCGTGGCTTTGCATTGCCGCTCTTACCGACGATGACGTGATCCTTTTGTTGGGGAGGGAGCCGCAGCCAGCCCGCCGTAAAACTCCCACACGCGCACAGGATCCGTCCCCTGCAGTGGTAGCGGCGGGGGTGGTGGATGGCCGGGACGCATTGGAGAAGTGGCTGGAGGATGTGGACGACGAGAAGGAGAAATCACCGTCTCCGAGGGGACGGCAACCAAAACCATCAAAGGACGTTACCGCGGACGCTGTGCCGTTGCCGCGTGCATCGTCCCCGCTGAAATTCATGGACCCGGATCAAGATTATACTGTTCTCATGATGTTGACAGCACCAGGGACTCTTGGCGCCACGGCCAACTCGAGTCCGGACCGATACGTTCCCCCCACACGCATATTGCTTTACGTACCGCAGAGCAATGAGCTTCTCTTTTACATGGGTGGAAGCGATGAAATCTACTCCATTTGTTTGCCGTTTGTGAGGACTGTCACTTCTGTTGAAGGCGTGGGGAGGGCGACGGCGAAAGTGTCTGTCCAGACACCACAGAAGAATTCGACATTCACATCCAACAGTTGGATGGGTGCCGCACTCAGTGCAAGTGAGCTAATTGACATGAAAATAGCACGTCCATTGATGTCAGTCATGTGGAGTCTTGCAGGGGAGGTGGAGGTTGACGAAGCGTCGCTTCCGCCCCTGGCGTCTTCATCCGCACCACCACCACCGACACAAGTTCAGTCCCCAACATCAATGATGATAGCAGAAGAGGGTGAAAGGGCGAACTCAAGTTCACGGAATGTGGTTGAAGTACACATTGACGACGATCATAGCAAAACGCCCCGGAAGAAGAAACACCGTAATGATTTAAGGTCTATTATGAACGAGGATAGTCGAATGATAGACACTGAGGGTGATATGCGAAGGGCATACATGGAAGAAGAGCGTCGCAAGTTACTGAATTCACAGCACTGGAGTGGGATGAAGACGGATGGAAAGGAAGGAGAAGGATGTGCAGAGGATGCGGGCATATTGAAGCGTCTTATTAGTATGGAAGAGCCGTTGCAACGCAACGCCATTGTATATGAATGGAGTGATATACATGATGATCTCTATGTGCAGTTTACCCAGAAGGGCCTTGAGATTATGGAGCAGAAGAAATGTGACGTCACGCATGACATCTCTGCATCACGAGAGGTGTGTTATGGGAGTTTCCGTGACTGCGTTATTTTGAGCGAGTTTACGTATGGTGATCACTCTGCAGGTTTTATGCAGGCGTTTCGTCATGCTCAGCAGAGACGGCAGGAAAATCGTGACCAGGGCAGGGTCTTTGACTTTGCGGCGTACTTTTCCAGCGGTGTTGTGCCACAGCGGCTTTTGGATCTGCAAGAGGATGATCGCTGCCACTTTGAGCTGGAGGACCTTAGGGCAGCCTTTGAAGATGACATAAAGAAATTTAATGAAGTGGACACCGTACTGGTCTACGAGAATCAAGAGCGAGAGGTGGACGGTAATGGAAGGCGGCGGTGGGTGCCACACCCCACATTTCCTTTTGACGACAAGGACGGCATGGTGATAGACATTGTGGCGCTCAATAACACCGCCGCAATTCGGAACGCCTTGCCGCCGAAAAATACCACTTCTGGGGAAGCCGCATGGCAGTCGTCAGTGTCATCTGCGGGCTGGCGTTGGGCGAGTGAAGCGGAGGATAGCCGCTCGCCGCGGATAGGTGGGAGTAAGCTTGTTCGTAGGGAACTGCAGTCATGGCATGTTGGGGATTGGATGTACGCAACGCGGTGGCCCAGGCGCGAGGAGGAGGTACAAGGGACATTTCAGTGGAGCACTTCCGATGACTCTGGCGTGGCCAAAGTCCGCCGTCGGCACTTGACGCGTAACCGCATCAATGTCGCTCTTGAGAGAGCCAAGGAGGAACGAAAAGAGGAGTACATGAGGAAGCTTGAGGAGCTGCGTATGGAGCTGGACCTGTAGTGTGAACATGGCTCTCTCCATATAAATAAATACGTCCGCATGCACGCAAAGTGTGTGCGCGTGCGTGATGGATGTGTGCAATATGCCGATTGATGTTTTTCTTTTTCTTTTTTTTTTTCTTCCCGTGTGTTCAGGCATAAAAAAACAAACAAACAAAAACGGGAGACGAATGGGGCGTGGGGTTTCTAACTTTGAATTTTTTACTGTTGTGGCTAGGCGTTTAAAACGAGGTGAAAAAAAAAAAACAATAATAAAATAAAAAGAAAAGCAGGAAAAAAGACATGAAACCACTCCTCTAACAAAAAAACAAACAAGAAGTCCAATGGGGGGCGAAGGAGGATTTATTCCTGTTGTTTTTTGGTAAAATGTTTCAGTTATTGGCGGCCATTTTCTGATGCTCTGTGAGGTGCTTTCTGTGAAGAGGATAGAGCGGACGATAAGGTGATGGTGGGGGGTACGTGTGGTTGTGCTCGTGTATTATTTTTAATGTTTTTATTAATTTGATTATTATTGTTATTATTTAGTGCGGTGGATGTTTACTTTGAAGTATCACCGCTCTGCCTACTTTTTTTTTAAATTATTTCATCTCTGCTTCCACACACACACACACAAACTCGCATACATGTTCATTTATGACTTAAACAAAGTATGGAGCGAATGGAGGGCTGCATCGGTGCCGTGTTTGTTACCATTCAGCTCAGTGGCGGTCCGATTGACGTTCTGGATTTTTTTTATCGCGCCTGGAACGCGGAGTTGTTACGCAACGTCGCTGCAGAAACTACAGGGTGCCTTTTGCGCTTTCCATTGCTGCGCGTGAATGGCATCGTTTGCAGCGGTGTCGTGGCCTCTGTCCTTACAGGCGGTATGGTGCGTGTTGTTTCCAGTGGTTCTATCGAGGCAGCCTTGGCGATTGCAGACTTTGTTTACACGTACGTTATTAGGCGGCTTCCTGCGCTACCAAGGAGAACCGGCACGAAAAGCATTACGTCGCTTCAGGTTGTTCTGTCCCCCACTCCACCACTGCCAAGGGGGATGAATTTGGATACGTCCGAGAGCACGGCGGAATGGCTGCGTGAGCACATAGCTTCATTCACCGCTGCTTCCAAGAACGGTGGGGCTGATGATGAATCACGCCAAAGTCAGTGGTGGCATTGTCTCACAGAAAGTTCAGTGGCATGCCGACAGTACCGGCACACGCTTCGCATTGTGTGTCACTTCAGACAGCCTCCTCCACTGCAGGTGGGGCGTGAGTTGGGCCCGGCGTTAGGCAGAGGGGTTGATGATTCCGACGCGGACGCGTTTTTTTTTGAAAGCGAACTCATGTCTGTTGTGCCGTTGGGAAGTGTTTTTATGGCGGTTGGGCGCAACCCGGACAAAGGCTCGGAAGACGATATGAGAGGGGCTGGAGATGAGGGAAAAGGCGCTGGGCATAAACGTTCACGTCATGAGAGTGAGATGATGACGTTGGCGAATTCGTTTTTGGAGCGTCCTGCGAAGGATGAAATGACAGCCCTCGTTCCACCGCCACTGCCATCATCGTTGGCGACGTCATCCACTGCAGCACGAGCTTCCAAAACTGGGCCTTCTGCTGCTGCTGCCGCTGCGACTGAGGGATGTTCGTTTGTGATGAAGCCGCTGGTGAAGGTTGAGGCGATGGTGTACCCCTCAGGACGTGTGTTCACGACGACAGACTCCGTTGAGGGTTTGTTCTTCTTTGTGGAGGAGGTGCTCCTACCGCTAATGCAGAGGCAGCGAGGGACGTAAAGCTGCGGCTCCTACTGCATCTTGGAGGAAAAGCTACAAGAAGAAAAATGAGGAATGCGAGCCGTCTGCCGTGAGGGAATTTCAATGATGAGTGCATGTGCCATGTGCCTCTCGATTTTTTTTTTTACTCTTTTTTCTGTGGTACTCTTGTTAGTAAGCAAGGCAGAAAAAGAGAGGCCACTCAACACACATACATAAATACATAATTGCATACGTAAATACACACTACGCGCATACGGGGGAAGCGGCAGGGCGGGAGGGAGGGGGCGGGTGGCCATTGGTGCGCATTCACTAACCGCTAATGTCGAGTGGTATATCATCGCCTCGTGCCGCATTGCCTTCAGGTATTTTGCTCTTTCGGCAGCAGGGGCTACAATTACCACTGCAAACGCAACGACAAGTGCAACAAGAAGAGGAGGAAGAAGACTCCTCATGGCTTCACAGGAATTCTGTTGGGTTGATCGCCGCAGTTCCTTTTTCTGAATTTTTATGCAGTAGTGCGTCCTCACCGATAGCAGGTGCGTCACGTGAGTGTCGAGTTTCACGGTCAAAGTTCACTTGTGTTAGCAAAGGCTCACTGGAGGATGACCTGGCGAGCTTCAAGACGCCTCTCTCTCCACAACCACCCCATTCGGCCTTTGAAGTGCTTACGAGTAGCTGTACGGCGTGTACGCACTCATCTTTTGGAATTCAACCGAATGAGGTATCGTCATTTTCATTTCAACGGGGTGTTGATAACGGCGTGGCTGCTGGATGCAGTATGGGCAAGAGACGAATGACAGAAGACTCCGTGCTACACAGGACGAGCGATAATTCGTCCAGGGCAAGCTTTGTGCCACACTCACCACCGACGGTGGCTGCACACATGAGTGAAAAGACATCATCTTGCTATCAAAATTCCCTTTCAGACTTATTGGGTGAGAAGGACATGCAGCCGCAGTTTCACGTTCCCTCTTGCACCCTTACTTCTACTCCGTTATGCCCACCCTCACTGAGTGTGACACGGGACAAGAATGGCTCGCAGAAAGTATTGGTAGAAGTGGCTCACACAACGTTGAGCGGACACCGAAATTCACAGGAGGATGCGGTCTGTATTCATGAGCGGGTGGCGTTTCCTCCGGATTGCGTCGCACGGGAGGGAATGCAGTTGTCTTCGGCATCGACCTATTCCCTCTATGGTGTATTTGATGGGCACAATGGAGACCACCTTTCCAACATGGCTTCCCTGTATTACCTTGAGCACTTTAACGAGGCTCTCAACAGAGTACCGCCGTCACTTACATCATGTGAAGCGACACCAACGTCAACACAGGACTGTTGTCATCCATCCGATGGCGATGCGGATGCACACCCAAAAGCGCTTTTACCCGAGAATGTACCCCCACAGCGCTTTCTTAGCAACGCGCTTGTGCAATCACTCATTCACCTTGACCGCACTTTGTACGACACAACGCCATTTGCGCAACGATCCCGATCGGGCACTACTGCAGGTGTTGCCGCGTTTTATCACGGTATGCCAATGTCGCCCCATGGTCCGGTTCCGTGTTACCTTTCTATTGCAAATCTTGGTGACAGCCGCGCTGTTCTTGCCCGCATCTCGGATGGTCACGTAATTGTGAGTACATTTGATCATCGTGTTCCAACTTACCCTTCCGAGAGGGTGCGTGTTGAGCGATGTGGCGGTTGCGTTGAGTGGGATCGCGTAGACGGTGCGTTGGAGGTGACGCGGTCTCTAGGGGATTTTATTTACAAACTACCACCAGAAAAATGGTTGGGGCATCCAGGTGCCTGTGATACAAGTGCTGCTCAAATTGGAGGTAAAACACCCGCTGTAGATGTCACGGCGCCGATGCATGATATCGTTGAAATTACATGCAGTCAGAATAGTAACAGTAGAATCGGGAGTGTTGGTAGCCTTGCGGAGGAAATTCCTCCGCAACTTTCAATGAGTTCAATTTTGAGCTTGCGAGCAACGCCCTTGAATCAAAACGATGATGATATAGAGAGGCATCACATGGAGATGAGGTGCAGCTTAATAGATAACGTCGTCAGCAACGTTGCAGACGTTTACGAGGCGGAGCTGACAGGAGACGAGTTTCTTGTGCTCGCGTCGGACGGGCTGTGGGACCGCATGAGTACGGAGGGGGTCGTTGAGTTTGTACGTGCGCGCCTCCTGCAGTCGGGTCTCTTACATGGTGGCAACGTTCTGCAGCCGATGCCGCAGTCTCTTGCTACTGCAGACCTCCCAAAGACACCAATTCACTCAAGTAGCCCTTTGGTGGATTTTCCACGGCGCGTGGAAAACACGCCGCCGCCTTCTCTTTTTCACAGCGGTCCAGACACTGCAGAGGTGAAGCACATCTTTTCCATGACGTTGCTGCATACGGATGGAGCATCTCGAGGCAAACAGGACGACGGTGACTCGTCAGGGTTCGCCACACCGCCGCCGCAGTGCGCGGTTGGCAGGTGGGAGCAAAGGGAGAGTCCTGGCGACAGCCCGTACTCCTGCGGAACCCCACGACGAGTGCTGCAGGCGGTGGCGAACAGTTTGGCCGACCACGTGGTGCATCATCTGCACAGCGCCGACAACGTCACCATCTTCCTCATTCTTTTCCATCGTGGAGGATGAGGAGGCATTCTTTTTGATTTTAATTTCAAAAAAAAAAAAATCCTTCTTTAATACAAAAAAAAAAAAAAAAAAAAAAAAGCGACGGAGAAGTCTCTGATGAGAGTGGCATATCTCTTATTCACATGCGTCACGGAAAGACAACAAAAAAACAAAAAAGAATGCAGATGACGGTGGAGATGCCATCAACGGTATTGGGATGGTATAGCTGGCTTTTGTGGGGGTAAAAGCGATTATGATTGTGATCCAGAGTTCTTTTTAATGGATGGAAATGCATAAATGAATGGTGGAAACAACATCATTTGTTGGATTTTCATTTTTATTTTTATTGTATTCGTACGGGGGAAGGGGTGTGTGACCACCACGCATAGACGCCGCTCACACCACCACCACCATCACCAAAAAACAAACTCCGTTCACGGACAGAGCGTGAGTGTGTGGGTGATGGAGTGGGTGCGGGGTGCTGTGGATATGGATACATGTGTCGTGTGTGTCTGCCCGTGTTCTTGCTGCTTTTGCTCGCGGTTTGGCAGGAATGGTTACAAACGTCATGAGCAGGAAGAATCATAGGGTTAGAAAAGGAATAATAATGGCATACGAATTTGGTGGCAAACAAGAAGAAGAAGAAAAAAGAAGATCTCGTGAATGAGTGAGTGTTTCCATTTGAGGTTTATGGGGTTTCTGGCACCTTTTATTATTATTATTATTATTATTTTTATTGTGGTCGTTGCACTCTTTTAACCGCTTGACTTTTTGGCTTTTTTACTGCGCGGCACAAGAGGGGCGGAGGGGGGATTTCTTGTTTTTTTTTATTTTTTATTGTTGTTTGCTGAAACTCTTTTGCGGGGGGGGAGGGGGAGAGAAGGGGACTCACGCCGCAAGTAATTATTATTTGCGCCCCTGCAGTCAACGGCGAGGGTCAAAAAGGGGAAAAGGGAGAAGGAAAAAATAAAACAGAGGGATGGCCCCGTTGCTTGACTACGCCTCCTTTTTTGTTTCCTTCAGCACAGGTGTCATTCTGACACTCTTGTGTGCGCGTGGCGGTGGGTGCGGCAATTGTTGGCCGCCAGCTCTTTTTCGTCTGAAGGGGCGACAGGCACATGCCTTCTTAGCGCACCGTCATGAGCCACTCAAGATGACACTTGTGGTCCGGAAGGATCTGAAGATGGGCACAGGGAAAATTGCGGCGCAGTGTGCACATGCGGCGGTGGCTGTGGTGGAGAAGGTGGAGAGCCGCCGTCAGAAGGGTGACACGACCACGCCGACCCCCCGCGCCGCGCATGATGAATGCGTGGAAGCAAATGAGGGCGCTCACTGGGATGAGTGGGTTGCGTGGTACGACGCCTGGATGTTTGCTGGCGGCACGAAGGTCGTGCTGCAATGTGAAAGTGAGGAAAAACTGATGGACGCATTCCGTGAGGCCAAGCAGGAAGGGCTGCCACACGCCGTGATACGCGATGCGGGGAGGACGCAGATTGCGCCTGGTAGCAAGACCGTTCTGGCGGTTGGTCCGGCGCCCATCAAACTCGTTGATCGTGTCACGGGAAAATTTAAATTGCTGTGAATCCCCTCACAACTCCGGATTTATGACGACGGTACGAGAGATTTAGGCGCGGAAAAACGACGATAGAAGGAAATAGAGAGACATGAGTTGTGCGTGTTGGCGGTGTCTCTGCGTGTGTTTGGACAAGCAAAAGGAATGCACTGGAAAAAAACAACAACGAGTGGCTTGGCTAATGGCATCGGACACTTTATTATGTGTGCATGTTTCTCTGGGGTACAAAGCGTTGCGGAAGGGAAACAACAAAAAGGGACGTCATGAAGTTGAGGAGGCGGGGTGGATCAAAAAAAAAAAAAAAAACAAAAACAAAAAACGATTGAATACTCACCAACTACTTCTCCCACTCTTGTCATTTTCTTTCTCTGCACGAACGATGGCTGTGAATTTCTTATGCGGGCATCCTTGAAAGTATTATTATTATTATTATTATTATTTATTATTTATTGTCATTGCATTCTCTTTTCTTCTTGCGGATTATGTACATGTATCTATGTACATAGCCACGCAATCAAAGCGCAACCTACTCCTCGGCAGTGTAGTTTAAATTGCTTACAATATCTGCATAAGGAAATTGACGCATAAGGGGGAGAAAGGGATAATTGTGGGGCGTTTCTACTGTAAGGCATTTGTTACTGCGCCCCCTATTATTATTATTATTACTTGTTGGTGTTGTCGTTAAGATTAGTATTTATTTATTGAATGACACAAAAGCTTCTTTTGGCGGAAGGCCTTGACCTTTTACGCCGCACGGAGGCCCGGGAGTACGAGGTCGACCGCATCCAGGCCCGTATCTGTTCAAGCAGCAAGTACCGTCATGAGCTTCTGCGCCTCGTCCAGGCGTACAACACCGTCTACCACGACTACCTACGCGCGGTGGAGATTATTAATTATGTACGTCGCACCGCCGCGAGTAACAATGACCCGAGGGATGAAAAACTTATCGAGATGTGTGAGGGGAAAATGAGGGCTTACATGGACCGCTGCGAAGTTGTGCGCAAGAAGGAAGACAACATCCTTCTTCCCATTGAGCAAATGAATCAGGACTGGACAAGTGATGACTTTTTGCTGGGGTCCCCTGTGTTTGTGCTTAGCGGCGTTCAACACGCCATTAAGCGCAATGCGCCATTCGTCCGCGAGGAAAAACTGGGCGACGGCTCATATCTTTTCGTCGTGAAGAATTTGGACTCCTACAACGTGGCAGCGCCTGAACTCAGCGTGACCATCGATATTGTACCCCATAAGGGGCAGCAGCAGCGACTGGAGAAGGTGATTCCATGCCAGTGTGGGTGGCGGCGCGCCATTGGGGTCGTTACCTCCACGGAACTGCACGTGCTGATTCGCTCCAAGGGTTTACTGCGGGACTCGCATGTGGATGTTGCTCTCTACCGTCTGGAGCCCAAGAGTGCAACCACCACTCAGGCCCCGCCGCCAGGTGCGATGTCGGATCAACGCATCGCAAAGCTGCCTAAACTCACCGATGAGGACTTGGCACTACTTTCCATTCCAAATGTTCCCACAGAATCGTTAGCGCCCCTGCCGCACCAGGGTGCACAACCGAACGAAACAGGCAATGCAATGCAGGAACTTCAGTCGCTTAGGGTGCCGTATTCTCAACCGAGAACACAGTTGGCAGCGATGGTTCCGGAGCCCATTGAGGTGAACCCCGCCAACATGAGTTGTGCAGAACGTATGCAACGGCTGAGAAACACACTGAGTGCGTGGCCCAATTCAAACGTCCTGGCAGTGCCACTGGACAGGGAACAACAATGTGTTTTACAGGCCGTTTTTGCATTGCCGTTCCCTAGCGATCTCGCCAGCGATTGACGGGTAAAACATATAAATACGTTCCGTCTCCAAGCTTGGCGATGTTTGCTGGGAATCGTTGATTTTTTTATGGTTGTGTTTGATTCTTTTTGGATTGTTTGTGTGAATAATTTCCTTTTTGACTTTTTGTTGTTATTTCTCCTTGACGTGTCTTCTGCGATTAAGTCGTGCTGTGCAACCACCCATTTCGTGCATGTTCACACGTCTTGTATGGGGCGCTGTCGACGTGTGCCCTCATTGTGTCCTCCACTTCTTTGTATTCATCAGAGAACGTCAAATCAAACTGAAGAATCTTGTTTTGTTTTTTTCTTTCCCCCTTTTTTTTTCTCTTTTGACAAGTGCAATCTGACGTTTAGATTCGCATGTAACACTCCAATTTGATTCTTACCGATACACAGACATATACACACACACACAATACATAGAAAACGACACCCGTAATAGAGGGAGGTACGCCCAACGAATGACGGGAAAAATATCTCCTCTTTTTTTGCCCATATGCATTGGGGCCAAGAGGCACTTGGAGCTTCCTAACCGCTTCCTCATGTTGCCTATGTACCTAAATATGGAGCAGGAGCTCGATTTATGGAGTGATGCGCATATGGACGCCATGGGGAGTTTTTATGCGGAACGCGCGAGACACGGGGCAAAACTTATTGTATGCGGTGGCCTCGGTGTTTCCCGTATTGGTAAGTGGCGTATAGACAGCATGGCACTCGGGACGTACGATGCGGCGAAGGCTTTTTCGCGTGTGACACACGCAGTGCACCGCGAGGGAGGTGCCATCCTCGCGCAGGCGTTTCATCCTGGACGTGCTGCGCGACGCCGATGGTTTATCTCCGCCACGTCAACCCCATCTTCCGTGCAGCCATTTCGAGATGCACACCCATGGCGTATACCAGGGCTTTTGGTTGAGTATATCGTTTCGGAGCACGCGCGGTTTGCGCGACTGGCCGAGGCTGCAGGGTTTGATGGCATTGAAATCCCCGTAAGTGAGGGTGGGCTGTTGCACAATTTTCTCTCAACGGCCGTGAACGACCGTAGTGACTACTATGGCCGTTCACTTGAAGGTCGGTTGGAGGCGACATTGCGGGTGTTAGATGCCGTTCGGCGGTCTTTGGTGGAACCAGAAAAGTTTTTGTTGTCCGTTCGCCTTTGCTTGCATGATCTGAAGGTAGGAGGGACACCAATGACGGAGACGCTGGTTGCTGCTGAGGCTATTGCGCGGTTTGGTGGTGTGGATATTCTGAGTACAAGCGTAGGCATGCATGACTCGCCCGTCCAGACAATGGCGTCGTATGTGCCACAGGCTGTCTTTGCACGATGTGTGCAGAAGGTACGGGAGCGTTTACAGTCCCATGGCCTTAATGTTCCTGTTGTGGCAACACATCGTGTGCATTCGATTGCGGTAGCGGAGCGTCTTGTGCGGGAGGGCGTGTGCGATATTGTTGGTCTGGCGCGGCCACTGTTGTCAGATCCACAAATGATTCGAAAGGCAGAAGAGGGGCATGAGGACGCCATTATTCCATGTATCGCATGCAATCACTGTGTGAACCGTCTATACAAACATCAGCGCATCACATGTGCTCTTAATCCCACTAGTGGATACGAACGTGAGCGGCAATGGGCAGCAACGCGGTACAAGAAGAATGTGGCCGTTATTGGTGCGGGCGCAGCGGGTGTCACATGTGCATTAACACTCTGGCGTCGTGGACACGATGTGACACTCTTTGAAAAATCCAACTTTATCGGTGGGCAGTTGAATCTTGCGAAGGTGGTGCCTGGGAAGGAGTCTTACCAGGAGGTGCTGGAATATTGGACGCGGCAGTTACGCCAGTCTTCCATCAACGTTCGTCTCGGTGTGGAGTTTGTGCGGGAAGATATGTCTCGTAATCACCAGTTTTTTCACGCGCTAGTCTTGTGCTGTGGGAGCGTGCCTCGCCCGGCCACATCGCATCAAATTCCTGGAACTTCCGAGTGTCCCATGGTGGTGCCGTTTGAGAAGATTCTCAATGGCAGTGTGAAGGCCGGGCGCCGGGTTGTGATCATTGGGAATGGTGCCATTTCCCACGACGTGGCATCGTACTTGCTGCACGACCCGCGTGTTTCTCGATCTGTGGAGGCGTATTGCGATGAATGGGGCGTTAACCTCGAAGATGGCACTCTGGACCCACACGCGGCGGAACGTGCCCCTCGCAACAACCGCGACGTTGTCCTGTTCAACAAGGCAGACAAGGATGCCGACCTCTCGCGCGGTAAAGGGTGGACGCAAAAATTGTGGATTCGCAACCACGGCGGAACGATCATAAAACATGGACTGATTGAAAACATCGACAGGAATGGTGTGCACATTTCTATGGTGGCTCCTGATTCTCGAAAGTACTTCGTGGAGTGCGATACCATTGTGTGGGCGTATGGAATGCTCCCCAATATTTCCGTTGGCACGTGGATATATGAATGGATGAAAGATGGCGCAAAGGAGCGTGGAGAAATGATCAGTGACTTCAGCATTTACACAGCGGGATCATGCCGCGATAGTTACACTGGCGAAGGCCACGGTGAGCAGGATCTTCTGCGGGCGGTACATGAGGGATACGAGATTGGGTACAAGATCTGACACCAGAGAAGGTAGTGGTTGTTATGTTGATGGGAGTGCAAAGGGAATCGACACTTTTTTTCTTTTTTTTCTTCTGCTACTACCGCTACCATGACGGCTTCTGCCCTACGGTCTGGTCACGGGACCGTGGCCTTTAGCTGCCTGTTTTGATTGAAAGGGAGGGGAAAAGTGAATGGCACTGGGATTTTATTTATTTTTTGTTGGTATTTACTTGGTTTTTTTAGATACATGACATGATGGCTCCTTTGTCTTTATTTTTTTTTTTTTTCAATGGACATGTGTTTGTCTCTCTCTATGTGTGTCTGTGTCTGTGTGCATAAAATGTTAATGCTCCACCCCTTTCTGGTGACTTGTCTCCCTTGCCGAAGCAAGGGAGCAGAATTGTCAGGGGCATGAAGGAATGGTGGTGCCGTCAGCTTCATGCATCTTTCTTCCTTTTTTTTCTTCTCTCTGTTTACTTCCCTCTGAATGCTGAAGTTTCCCTGTTGTGTTTAAGGCAAGCAAGAGGATCATTTGCACTAATTATTGGCGCTGGAGGTGAAAAGCGAAGAGGGGTTTGACTGTGCCTTTTTTTTTTCTGTGTGTTTTTTGTGTGTTTGTACATGACGCGACGTCCGAACTCTGCCACGCGCCGCATCGTGCCTCCTGGCGTGGTGGTGCGTCTTCCAAGTGAATCCACATTGTCTGCTTTCTGTAGCTGCAGCCTGAACATCGCGGCACTTTTTCCCGACGGGCTGCCGTCCCCACCGCTGCCGCTTTCTCGGTGTGAACTTCATGAACTTTTATTGGCACTTCCGCAACGCCTGCAGAACTCTCCATGGCGGGTCTGCTACGACACGGAACACGACGGGTTCTCGCTGCATAATTTCTACCGTAAGATGAAGCAGGTTCACGACGAGAAAGAGCTCGGCATAGGCATCTTTGTGGTGAGTGAGGGAGTGTCGGATTCAGTGCCCATTTCGTCGGTAGGAGGCCTGCTGGGGCCGCAGAGTCGGAGTGGTGTTTCTGCCCTTCCAAGTAGTGTCGTGTTGGGTTGCTTCACGCCAGAGGTGCCGTGCCTGGAGCACTCCCAACACGCCTTCTTTGGAGCACAGGAGACGTTTGTCTTTACATATGCCGATGTGAGCCGCTACGCGTCCGAGGGAAGTTGTGGGGAACCGCAGCACGCGTCTGGCGTGACGCCTGCGCATTCATCATCTGCGGCGAGTGATGTCATCGCGAGCCCAAAAATGGCACGTAATTTTTCGACACCTTCACTGCAGCCGTCCACAAGATTAGGTTTCAATTGCCTTCCTCGCATTTTGTCCGTGTACCCATGGACGTTGGAGGAGCAAAACAAGGAGTTTATTGTATGCACCAATAAATTTTTTGGCATTGGTGGCGGCCGCGACGGGGCGGCAATATTTGTTGATGCGAGTCTGTCGCATGGTACCAGTAGTGTTTTTTGCGGAACGTTTGCGTCACCCCCGTTGGGCGGAAGACTGCGAGCGACGCTGCGGCAGTCGGAGTTTACAGTGCTACGAATGGTTTGGTTCAGGGTGAGGGATAGGAAAGAGGTCTTCACATGCATGGATCTTCCCAAGCGTGAGCCGTGCGACTGCGGAAGGTTGCTGGAGAGCGAGGACGGGAATCGTTTGGTACGAGTGCGCTACAGTGGACATAAGCGTGCCTGGCACATCTGTAATTAGGAGCGACATTTACCTCTTTGCTGTATCGCTGGTCGCTGGGAGAGGGGGGAAAAAAGGAAAAAAAAAAAAAAAAAGAGCGAATGAAAAGGAAAAGAAGACTCCTATGCACGCTACGTGATGTGGCGTTTTTTTTCTTGTTGTGTATACATTATATAGTGACTATATACATATTTCTATATCTCTGAGTGTTTTCTTTTTGGTGCTACTGTCAATCCGTTAGGAATGGATAAAGTGAACGTTCTGGCGCGTGCCTCTCTGTGGTGTTTGGTGCTGCGGCCCAAATGAGGATTGAATTGGTGGCAGACAGTAAATTGTGTCGGTTGTTACCACATCATTACCGGCATGCATCTGTAATGCACGTATCTAACAACCCTGTTTATTGTTTTTTTTTTTTTCTCAATTTTTTTTCTTTTTTTTTTCTTCTTCTCGTTCTTGTTCTTTCTTTTTAATGGATTCATGCGTGTGTGTGTGTGTGTCTGGTGGAAGTGTACATTCTTTTCTTCTTTCTTTGTTTCTGATAGTTTATACATACATATATATATATATTGGGCCCAAGCGATGTGCGGTATATTCGCGTACATCAATTATCACAAACGACAGACGGTGCGGGAGATCTTCAACGTGTTGCTTGACGGACTGCAGCGTGTGGAGTACCGGGGCTACGACAGCGCTGGTCTTTGCATCGACGGCCAGGATGCCGACCAGCCACCGGTGCTTATTCGCAGCGTGGGGAATATTGCGCAGCTGCGTAAAATTGTCTTCAGCGACGAGACCGTCTCGCTGGTGGACCTCGACGCGTCTTTTGACGTTCACGTCGGCATTGCCCACACCCGCTGGGCCACCCACGGCATGCCTTCTGTGAAAAACTGCCACCCGCAGGCCAGCAACGATCAGGGCTTTGTCGTGGTGCACAATGGCATCATGACGAACTTCATGCCGGTCAAGCAGATGCTGCTGGAGAGGGGCTACCACTTCAGCGGCGACACGGACACGGAGGTGATTGCGGTGCTTCTGGAGTATCTGCACACGCAGGAGCCAAAACTGTCACTTGTTGAACTTGCCACAAGAATTACTTCCATGTTGGAGGGCGCGTATGCGCTGCTGGTTAAATCGATGTTCTTTCCCAATGAACTGATTGCCTGCCGTAAGAGTTCCCCGCTAATGGTCGGTTTTCGTCGTGGGGGCCCAAGCGGCGCGGTTGCGAATGGAGATGCCCTGCCACTGACCGAGTTGTATTTTGCCTCGGATGCCAATTCTTTTATTGCACACACGCGTGAGGTCATTTTTTTGGAGAATGGCGACATTGCGCACTTTCACGATGGTGCGCTTGCTCTCTACGCCACCAGCAACACCACGGCTGGTCTTAATAATTCTGTCGCCGTGGCAACGCCCGTCAGTCGTGCGCCGCAGATCATTGATGCCACGCCCGAAGGTCTTTCCAAGGATGGCTACGAGCACTTTATGCTGAAAGAGATTTACGAGCAGCCAGAGAGCGTCACACGCACGATGCGTGGTCGCATAAACTTTTTAAAGGGTGACGTAAACTTTGATGGCATGGATGCGAGTATATTAGCAGCTCTTTCTAGGGCACATTGTCTTATGTTGATTTCATGTGGAACCTCATACCACAGCTGTCTTGCTGTGCGTCCGATCTTTGAAGAGTTGCTGCGGAACCTGTCTGTGGTGGTGGAGAATGCCCCGTACTTTATGGACCGGCAGCCACGTGTTCATCGCGATGATATCTGCGTGTTTGTTTCACAATCCGGCGAGACTGCCGATACAATAATGGCACTGCAGTACTCTAAAGCAGCCGGTGCCACTCTTATCGGGGTGACAAATGTCCCGGGCTCCACCGTCTCGCGGCAGACAGATTACGCCATATCCCTCAACGCTGGTGTGGAGGTGGGAGTTGCCTCAACGAAAGCCTACACATCACAGATTGTTCTCCTCACCCTTCTGGCTCTGTTAATGAGTCAAACAACGAATAGTTCCTGGAATGACAAGGAGACTACAAAAAACATACGTGGGAACACTGAGGAAAATAAGAAGGAAGTAGAAGAAGGAAAGGAAGAGAACAATCAATATGTTCAGAAAAGACGTGCAGAAATTATTAGTGGACTTGCTGCCCTTCCCGCAGCCATTTCTCAGTGTCTGAAGTTTGTCAGCGACGCCGTTATTTCCATCGCAGAGGAGTGGCATGATGCCTCTACCATCCTTGTAATTGGTCGAGGCTACGACTACCCTACCGCACTGGAGTCCGCTCTAAAGGTAAAGGAGGTAAGCTACGTTTTCACAGAGGGCATTCACTCTGGCGAGCTAAAACACGGTCCGCTTGCACTTGTGGATGCGAACTCGAGGGTGATTGCTTTTTGTGCGCATGACCGTCATTTTGAGCGTGGCAAAAGTGCCATCCAGCAGGTGAAGGCACGTGGTGGACGTGTAGTTGCGATAACGACCCAGAAGGACGCAGAGGTAGAGAATGCTACCACGCTGTGCGTAGAAGTGCCAAAGGTGGTGGATTGTTTGCAAGGTGTTGTTAACGTTGTGCCACTGCAGTTGCTTGCGTATTATCTTGCTGTGCGACGTGGGCACAATGTAGACTGCCCGCGTAATCTTGCAAAGAGCGTCACGGTGCAGTGAAGGGCACACACAACAATGAGGGGCAAAGAAGAGCACCAATCAAACAACAACAACAAAAGAAAAAACAAACAAACAAAAAACGGAAAGAAAAAACGAGAAGAAACTCTCCGATAATAATAATAATAAAAACGAGAAGGGCGTGGCCGTATCGACAAGTGGTTGGCATTTCTCTCTCCCCCCTTTTGTTGTTAAACACATGTAGTGCGATGTTTTTTTCCCTCATGGGGTCATTTTTGCTGCTGGCGCAGGGCTGACGGCATTTGGCCAGCGCCCGGACCGGCCGCGTATTACTGGGGGGGGGGGGAGGGGGGCATGTACACACCCTATCGAGTGCGGGCCATCGGATTTATTCGAGAGGAAAAAAAAAAACGGGAGGACAAACAACGGCAAAAGATGAATAAGATTGATTGGTAGGAAAGCAAGAAGACGATTGTTTGAGTGCAAGTGTGTGGTTAATTGTTTTCTTTTAGTTTGCGTTTTTTTTTTTTTATTTATGGCCATCCCGTTCTTTTTATGTCGAATTGGCTTTGGTTCCTTTTATCTCCTTCTGGTTTTACTGGAGTGGGAGGTACATGTGTACAGCAGTGGTTTTTTTTTTTTTTTTTTTTTTTCTTAAAGCCCAATTCTTTACATTTGCGCAAACATTTGGCTTTGAAGGCACATATAATATCTATCTATCTATGTATGTATGTATGTATCTATGTATGTATGTATTTATATATAAGTTAACCATTTAACAAGATGGCTGGTGATACGTATATACTCGATCACTTCATGCAATGCTTTTCTTGTAAATATGCAAATGGGTGGGTGTGCGCTTATAATATACACAATACATATATATTTATGTGTATTTGAATCTCCACTTCTTTTTTTTTTTTTAGCTTTTCTTCTTCCTTCCATTTTGTTTTAAACCCCCTTCCCACCCTCCTTAGATATATATCTACCTATATATATGTGTGTGTGTGTGTGTGTGTACTTGCGGACATTTTTATATTTGCGCAATGGAGCGTGTCTTAATCCGGTTGAACACCCACCTTTCATGACTCCTCTTGTGTGGTGGACGTGCGTGCAGAGAGAGAGAGAGAGAGTTCATATTGGACGTTTTTGTTTCGGTCAGTCTGTACGTTTTTTCTTTTTTTTTTGCCTCATTTCTGTTGGTGACTGCCGTACCCGCACACTTTCGTGCATGCGTCTTACGACCACACGTACGCCATGCGGTTGGTCAAATTCCATCGTAATGATTGGAGGATTTGTGGCTTCGCACATCAAAGGGGCCGGGTGGGGCGGAGGGTGGTGGACGTGCGTGTGCGCTGGCAGCAAATATTGTTGGCGGCGTGCAGCATTCAACAGCATGAGGGGGCGTCACTCATCAACACACGACGGGGGGTGGAGAATATCATTTGATATTTATAAATAAATAAAAATATATATTTATTTTTGTACCTATCGCACTACACACGTAGCCGTTTTTTTTGTTGTTTGTTGTTTGTTGTTAGTGTGCCATGAAAAAGTTTAGGGCCAAATTGTTTGACTCTGACCGCACATATAAACCCAAGAAAAAACATAAGGAAGGGACAGAACGTTATAATCTACACAAATTTGCCAAATCTCTTGTGCGTTCTGGTGATTTGAGCAAGGCTGTGCGTCTGCCACAAGGGGCCAACCTCAATCATTGGCTCTCTGTACATACGGTTGATTTCTACAACATCACGAATGTTCTTTACGGCTCACTCACGGAGTTTTGCACGACTAGCAGCTGTCCGGTGATGTCCTCTGGTCCCCGATACGAGTACCTTTGGAAGGATCCCCCGGAGTACCCAAAGGCAACAAAGGTGAGTGCCCCTGAGTATGTGCGCCTGCTTATGGAGTGGATTGAGAAGCAGATCAATGATGAGCGCATATTCCCTTCGGAGGATCGCAACCCCTATCCGCCGGATTTTGTAGAACGGGTGAAAATATGTTTTAAACGCCTTTTCCGGGTCTATGCGCATGTATATTACTCACATTTCGCGAAGATACGTGAGCTGCAGGAGGAGTCACACATTAACACGGCGCTTAAACATTTCATGTACTTTGTCTGGGAGTTTGATCTTATTCCACGGGAGGAGGTCTCGCCGCTGCAGGAGCTGCTTATTAACCTCATGGGGCAGAGGGCGAAGGACAAGTTAGAAGCTGCATAGAGACTGTTTTGTTTCACCTCATTTTGGAAATACACGGATAAAAAAAGAGGGCGTAGACGCAAAGAAAAAGCAACAACAACAACAACAACAATAACGACGAGAAGAAGAGCAAAAACAAAGGGAGATCAAAGGAATACATCCATTAATTGCTGGACCTTTGGAATCACAAGGGGATGGGAGATCTGCAATACCCTGTGCAGTGGGATAGATGTAGAAAAGAGGACGGAAGCAGGGCAGATTGGTACATAAACATATGTATGTAAATAATATACATATATACATCATGTACGTACGGGTCGTAGTGGAAAAGAAAGAGAAGCTCCGAATTGAGATGCGACGAACACAAATTTATTTGTTTTTTCCTTCTTTATTATGTAGCTTGTGCCTGTGCGCGTTGGGATACTTTTTCTCTGACGGGTGGAGGGACGTGGGGCGCATCGAAGCGAAAAAAAAAAAAAAAAAAAGAAAAACTGTTATCTTTTCCTCCCCTTTCTTTCTTTTCTTTTCTTTGCTGGAGGGAGGGAGGGGCAGGGACTCGTCCAGACCGATCTTGCATCTTGCATCTTGCACACACACACACACACACACACGCTGCCTTACGCTTTTTCCCTTATCACTGTGGCGAATTTATTATTATTTTTTTCTTTTGGCTTTTCTGACTGCACCGTGCCGTAAACAACCCGACGCACGCAAAAGCACACAAACACGTCCAGCAACTTGGCACTGGCCTTTCGTTTTTTGCACATCCGTCTTATTATTATTATTATTATTATTATTTGCATCTCTTCTGTGGGCGCGGTGCTCCTCCCTGTTCTCTCCGTGCGGCGCACGCCACGAGTCATTCCTTTTTTTTTTTTTTTTTATTGCATGGATGAATTTCCTTCCGTCTGCTTTTGGTGGACGAGCATCCGCTGCAGATGCAAAGAGCAACTTTGTTTTCCATGGAGGCGATTGACGCATATGTCAAGGAGCTGCAGTCTGGACACGACCGTACTTCAACTGCCCCACCACTGACGGTGGAGAACATTCTGTGCAGAATATACGCGAGGTTTTACAGTAAAGAAGGGCAGCCCCCGCTTCCAGACGGACTGCCCTTCTCATTGAAGCAGGTGCCGTCACTGGCATCTACAGCGGTGCTTCAATCCCGTATTACGGCAATGATTCAGAGCGCCGTGGCGACACGGCCTGTGGTGACGTTGTATGAGTTGGAGGCGGAGGTGTGCCTTACGGAGAATGTTGAGATGTACGCCGAACTTGGTCTTGGCTGCTCCCTTGCGGCATTGCCATGCGTCCGGCACTTGTTTGGTGTGAGTGTGGGCACCAACACAGCCCCTGTCACGAGCACAGAGTTTATGCATTTTCTCCTGTTCGACACGAACGCCCAGGCGCTGCTTTCAGGTGGGGGAGACGCAGGTGATGCCGTCCGCGCCTTCGCGTGCTGCTACAAGGGAGGCAAATACACAAGCATGCAGCTGGGCATTCATATTCAGCACTTTCCTTGGCTGTTGCGATTTGTGCGTCAGGAGGTTGGGAGAACCTCGACGTTTTTCTCAGATTTGTTGAATGAAAATGCATGGTGCTACAAACGCAACAAAGTCATTTATGAGCGTGTTATGCAATCCTTGCATACAGCGATGATGTCACACAAAAACCACGCGGAGGAACCACCTCGTGAGGTGAAGTTTGTTGTGCATGCCTCGCAGGAGGAGGCGATGGGGACGGACTTTCCGCCTGAGATGTGGGGGACGTGCAACGGGTCCGATGGAGGATTATCACTTCATGGCATTCTAAGCGCGGAGTCCTCTTTCTTGCTTGTTGATGTAAGACATGAAATGCACGCGTCGGAAACAGCCAGGGTAGAACAAATGCCACCGATGCCTGTTAGTTCATTCTCCTCTTTGGCGTTTCCTTATGCGGCAGCAGCGACGGTGACGGCAACAGATGCAACAAAGACCACGCCAAAGATGGTAACTTCTGCGCACACGAGAAAGCGTCGGCGTGGGGTGGTTGTGGAGGAACGGACAGAAGTGTTTGAAGAGACGCTAATGCATCCCCTGAAACAGCAAAAAGAGGAGATACAATCAGAGGATGCGCAGACGTCAACTACGGAGGCGGCAGCAGGAGTAGCAGCAGGTTCCACACCGTTGCCGACATTGCTTGAACCTCCTCCTATTCCTCTTGAGAAGGTTCTGTCGATATTGCGTTCTTTGGCGGTTATGCAATCTTCGACTGTTGCAGGGGTGTGTGTCGCTCCATGCGGTGATTTTGCTGTTTTTAGGACATATGCTTCCAAGTTATTATCACGCTTACGACGAGTAGAGAGGGACGCGAAGGAGCATGTTGGTGTCGCGTCGATTAGTAATGATCCTTTTTCTGTCGATGCGGACACACTTCTCCGTTTTTTCTCTTCCAATGAGACATCAGACGTATGGTGCGCATTCCACAATTCCCTTGCTTCCCATGCGAATGCTCCGGAGTGTGGTGAGGGTATGAATACTTCTTCTCCTGGCGAGTTACTACTTCATTGCCTCGAATTGGGATTTGCTGATTTGATGTTTTTACCGCTTGTGGCGACGAAATCATTATTGCCCCTATTGGCCGCACGGAGTTTACTCTTCCGGAGAGTTCTCTTATCAGGGCGTCATACATCAACGGATCTTCTTGTGTTTCACCCACTACAGTTCATTTTTGATGCATCAGCAGAGGGCGTGGATGGGTACCCTTTGGTAACGGTGTTGGATGGCGAGATACTTCTGCGCGGGTTGCAGGATTCAGAGTTTCACCATAAGTTGACTAGTTTGTTAGGGAAGCTTGAGGGCCATGGGGTGTTAACGTCAGTGCCTGAGAGTTGGTTGTATGATGGGTTTCTCTTGCAGGCTGTGCGTAGTCAAATGCGAGACTACTTTAACGGAGCTGAACGCACGGATTTGGAGGCATGTCAAATGGCCTTGCGCATGTTACTTCTGTATTGGTGGCTGGTGGGGATGTGGTGTCATGCGCCACCGTCGTCAAGGATTGCTAACGGGGTTGCGGAAATTCTGCACGGTCTGCGGGATGTGGTCTGGTTGCCTTCTCTATCACGCCATGGCAGTGAGAGTGATGTGAGTGGTGCTGCCCTGCGTGTCGAAAGCTGGCACGCACCTTCTGAATTATTCCCCTTTATTGGCGAATTTAAACGCCATGGTCTACAGGATTTTCTGCATTTTGCCCCTCATGAGATACGAGATGTTCTTTCCCTCTCCAGGCAGAATGGTGACATCAGTCTGTTCCAGCATGCACATAGATTTCTTGACAAGTGGATAGCCGTGGTGCAAAGTGGCATGGAATATGATAATAAATATCTATTACCCAGTCCAATGGGAATGCCTGAGGCACTCACGGCTGCTGTTGCCTTGCGTCTGCTATGTTTGCTGCGAGTGGGCAAACGCATTTCAGTCTTCACCATACGATATCTCTTGCGTCGCATTGCGGAAACCGATGAGGAGGAGGTTCTTATCGATGCGAGGAGACTTCCGATCATACCACTGTCGATGACGCATACGGGCCTGGATGAAAATGGGGAACTTGTCGTGCGTGAGATGGCGACATGTGAGACGGTGTGCTGGGAGCCACTCCCGGATGTGGACAGGACGCATATGCTTGACCGATCCATTAATTTTATTGGGGAAGACTTTTACGAACTCGCTGTTGATGTGCTACGTGTCTCACCTGTTCCATCTCTGGCAACATGGTTAGCGGCTGCAGAGGCATGCAGAAAACGTATTATGGCCGGTCCTGAAATTAATGCGTCCCTCACGGAGCTTTTTCTACGTGTTTTTTCCTACTCGTGCACGTCACATTACAGGCATCTCCTAAGGCGATTTGAGCAGCAAAAACCGGTAATTCCGGGTAGCGCCGCAGAGGCGGCTCTGAGGGGTGTGGTGGATGTTGTGTCAGGCGACAGTCTGGCGGGGCACACGTTTCCTCTTCATGGTCGTTGGAGAAGTCCGGCGGAGGGGTTGTTTTACTGTGGTCCGTACTATCGCGGCTTCTCCGGCCTTACGCTCAAAGTTACCACGCTTTATGGTGCTGCCGTTGATAAGAATAATGATGACACTGTTGGTGAGGATATGACACCGTCTCTGCCCGTTCTCATATTCACAGAACAGCCACATTATGCTGTAGCTGCCGTGCTGCAGAGGATGGGAGTTATAGCGTTGGAGATGTGTACTGAGAAGATTGTGACATTTGGACGAATGAATGCCGTCAATAGTACCGGATTTCACAATAAAATTGCGGAGTGTGCCCCTCGTGTGCAGGAATTTTTGCGCACGCATTACCCGCACTACTATGCCCTTGTGCACTCCCAGGTACGGCATTCCTTGGAGTATTTTAGCACTGTACTTGCTGCAGAGCCGGTTTTGCGGGAGGTGCTTCGGTTTCAGGGGAAAACCTATGTGATGACGCGTACCGTGCGCTGTTGGTATGTGCAGCAGCACAATTGTCTCTACGGTGCGGATGAGGAATTTTTTTCTTTTCTTGCAGCCGACGCGATTGCGGATTTGTTTCTCCCCTTGATGGATGAGGAAGTACGACAGGGGGTGAAGAAGGTCTTGCAGGAGTCTCTACGAGATGCAGAACTTTGCTTTAATGATACCCGGCCGCCTCCGTGCCCACCGACAACAACGGAGTTGCCACCACCACCACCATCATCATCATCGGCAGTGTTGGAAGAAGTGTGGCAAATTTCGGCGGCACCGGCTTTACGCTTTCGTGACCATTTTCCTTTGGGAAAAGACGGGTTTGGCCCCAGGGGAAAAGAGGGCGTTGCCCAAAACACATCAGGGATACTAGGAGGCTTAAAAATGCCGCAGATGAAGCTGCTGTTGTGGGGCGAGGGCGGTTACATGGCTCGTTCACTGCCACAGTGGAAGTGTGATCTCTTTGACTCCGCACACGACGTTCTGCGTGCCATGGAGCACGGTCGCAGTAATGCCGGAGGCGATTCGGAGGATGAAGGCTGCCCATCAACGCCCACTGCACCAACGCCGAAGAAAAAGTCGTCCGCCCGAAGGCGTGCGCGGCGTGGTGGCCGGTCACAGTTTGTTGCTCCTGCGATGGTTGTGCAGGAGAACCGGGAGACCGCCGATTACGCATTGGCAGCGGAGCGTTTTGTTGCGGCGAAGCTGCGGGCGGAGGTGCCACCGGACGTTGATGTTGTGTGGGTAAATGAAAACGGCGAATACGGCACTCCGTACGACATTCTTCTTGTGCGTCGCACTGTGAGAGACGCTCCGTCGACCACGTCAACGGAGATTTTGGCCTACGTGGAGGTGAAGAGCACATGCACGAACGTACGGCGTGACTTTGAGATGTCACTGCGGGAGTTTCTTTTTGCCGCGCGATTTGGTAAGGCGTACAAAATTTATCGCGTGTTTCGCGCCTCCACGAGTGCGACGCATTATATGCATGTAGAGGTGCTGGAGGATGTGGTGAGGTTGTGGCGCACGGGGTCCCTTACAATGACAGGTGGGGTGAAAGTCATGCTGGCTCCGGGCGCGTAAAAGGAACAAGAGAAGGAGTAAAGGGGGTAAACTAACAAAATTAAATGAATTCCCTTATGCTCACTCTTCCTAATCATTTGGATTGTGCGCGTTTGTTTTTTGGGCTGCGGGCGCAATGCAGCGGAAGAGTCGCGACGGGAGTGTGAATAAAACAAACAAATAATAAGCAAAAGGGCAGAGGAATCCGTCAACCCTGATGCATACTGCTTTCTCTATACATGGAGAGTAGCGGAACCGCTGTGGCGCATTGTTTTGCTTTTTTCCTTATTCCACACTGCGCAGAAGACACTGCAAGAGTGGTGCTTCACGGCCGTCTTTTCTTCTTTTCGATTTGTGTGTTTGTGTTTAAGTCCATGGCTTTTCGTGTCACCACCGGATTTTATTATTATTATTATTATTATTATTATTTCCAACAACAATAGTGTTGTGTTTGTCAAATTCTTTTCCAAGGCAACTTCTTTATTTGAGGCTGCGCGCAAGAGTGGTGTTTTATCCTTTTTTCCCTTTTTTTATTATTTTTCCTCACACACAAGGCGTATTCTTTATCTATACATATCTATAGATTAGATACAGGCACACACGCATGAAATGGGCTGCAGCCAATCTTCGGGCAGAAAAGAGGTCAATACTAACTTTGGTGCAACAGGATTGCACGTGGGGCGTGACGGTGATGTCGACCTGACATCCCGCTCGTTAGACATTCTCCTTCCCAAGTACATTGATCTCATTCGACGTGATAAGTTGCATACTGCGCGACGGCTGCACCTGTCGGAGAATAGGCTGTATAACCTCGGTAAGGAATTGACACTGCTGCCGGACATTGAGGAGCTGTACATCGACGGCAATCGCTTTGACCGAGTGCCAGCGGTGCTGGGCTCGATGGAGAACTTACGTCTGATCAACGCCAGCATGAACCCGTTGGGACAACAAGCCCGTGCCTTAGATGTGCTCCCGCGCATGGAGAAGTTGACAAGTGTCATATTGCGTGATTGCTCGTTAAGCGTCATTCCGGAATCTCTTCTGCGCTGCCCCTTCCTAAAGGAGCTGGACCTCTCGCATAACCTCAACATGCAGTTCGCTGGGGTGGAGTTTTCAGCCTTGCCATCACTCCAGATTTTGCGCATCGCCAACTGCGGCATACGAGGGGAAATTCCCACTGGCGTCAGGGGAATCACGACGCTGGTGACGCTTGACATATCGGGAAACTTCTTCAACTTTGATGACTTGGATTTCTTTGGGCCCCACCTTCCACTCACTCTTACGGAGTTGCACCTGCGGGGGATGCATCTCGTGGCTGTCCCGCAAGTTGTTGTGCAGCTACGCAAACTCTCCTACCTTGACCTTGCGGAGAACGCATTAGAGACGTTGGATGTTCTTGCGGGTCGACTAGTAAGGAAATTAGGCCCGTCTAGTGCCTTTTTCGGCACTGCGCCCAACGTCGTGACGGAGGCAAACGAAGACAATGTTAGCGTCGTCTCTCATGGAAGCACACGCATAGGTATGAGTCAACTCAGCCGTGCTGGTCGTATTGCCAACGTTCCTCAGCCCATTCCGCTGAAGAGGCTTTCTCTTCGAGCGTGTGATCTCCGCACTCTACCCAAATACTTTCACAAGCTGACCAACTTAGTTGACATTGACCTGAGTGAGAATGAGCAGCTTAATGATCCTAACATGACACTCTTTTCGCTCAGCAATCTGCAGGTAGTTAACATTGTAGGGTGCCCCTTTGCTGAGAACCGGAACCTTGCGCATAACGAATGGTTCGATATCGCGCATCTCTACAAGCTGCACACAATCAACTGGGAGGTCTGGAAAGGGGTACACAACATGAATCCATACCGGACGAAAGTCCCTTTTGAGATATGCGGATTGCAATTGCAGTACATCAACGGGATTAAGCTCCGCCCCAAGCTTTTTGTTGGCGACGCCGTCCAGACCATCATCAACCTGCTGGTCGATGGATACCTCAAGGTGGATCTGGCATTGGACGATGGGTTAGTATACAGCTACGCCGAGGCCACGCGTGCACTGAACCAGCTGGAGTCCTTCTTCTTTGATTCATCGAAGGACGATGAGAAGCACGTCACTGGGAATACGCAGCGGGGGCGGCCAAAAATGGGAGGCAACACGCATTTTGGAAACGGGAAGCGGTCCCCTTTGCCGTCGTCGTTGCCGAATAAAAAAGTTCGCCGTGATGCCCTCCAAATAGCCATCAGCCGTTACATCTTCTTCCTCACGATGCAAGCGGCGAACTACGACGCCGTCATTGTGCCGCCGGCAGATGTCATGGCCATTCACTACGCTCAGATGACACAGGATCCTATTAGTTACCGCAAAGACTGCGAGGCGATATGTGGGCAGGTGCTCAATTGCAACTACAATCTTTTTTTTCTCGAGCAGAAGATGCGGCCACAGGCGGTGAAGGAGGCCCTGGTGGGTAGCAGGCGGGTGTGGAATATGATAGTGCACACAACCCAAAAGGACCTTTTTTGGTTGCGCTACGAGTTTTGGGAACGCCGCGAAAGGGATTTCCTCGAAAAATCGTCTTCGCCGCAGAATGACAAGACGAACCGGAATGTGGAGAACAGGAATGCCTTCGCTGCTGACGACGCGAAGGCGCCAACAACACCACCATCATCACCATCACCAAAAACACCATCACCAAAAACGCCACCAACAGCCTTTGCCGCTGTTAAGGTGCCATGTGCACCACCGTATAACGGCGCGGACCTTGGCAACCTTTCCAACGTGGACGCTGTGGGGGATCTTTGCTCCGTGCTGGACTTTTCCATCACGGCGCACTTCACCGAGCAGGGCACGGATCGCTTTGTGGCCTCCCTGGTTAGATTTTTCTCCGTGAACAAACGTTTTCTAGACTGTGCGGAGTCCATCGCAGGGCAGCACCTGGACTGGACGCGATATGTCAAGTATCTTGCGCTTTATGCCCAGATTCAACGACTTAAGCAACCGAAGCAGCAAGAAAAACGTGTCAGCCAGCTAGAGATGGCGTCCGGGAACAATTCTTTTGTGTCGCCGGATGCGTATTTACCGCAGCCGATGGTCACAGAGGAATTACTTCCAAAGGTGCCTCAACGGCAGCTGACAAGGCTGGGCCTTCGAGCTGGATTGGCCTACGCGCGCGCCAATAGCGTCGGCACTAGCCAACGCGGAAGCATAGAGCAATCGCGGAATGATTCGCCGGTAACCGGACGGAACAGTGATGCTGGAGGACGCCGTTTGCAGCAAGGCATGCCGATGTCCGAGCCAGTACCAACGATTGGCATTTCATTGCTGCTTTACAGCCATCGCACTCTACATGCAAAGTACTATCAGGCATTGGCGCTCCTGGGCATTGAAACCATTGACATTGACTGGGATGAAACGTACGACGCGGTGGAGGCGACCATGCGAGCATGGATGCTGCTCTATGATGAGCTCTATGTAAAGGATGCCGAGGGTGCGTTTTGTCTTGGTGACGGGTTAAATTGCTTTCATGGAAACGATGACAAGAAGGAAACCTCTCAGAGTGAACCAAGAACTGCTATAAGGCGCCCCGGGTCGAAGCGTGTCAGTCGTTTACTTAGGCGCACCATCCTTTGCAGCGCCGGTGGTGAGCATGTCATTTTTTGATAATTGTGGAAGTAAAAAAAAAAAAAAAAAGAAAAGTTATTGCATCCATCCGTACATACATGCGTGCACACGTGCATATATAAATAAATATATGGGCTGAGAAGAGGAAAGAAAAGGAAAAAAAAAAGGGGGGCGAAGTAAAAGGATACCGGGGCAAAGAGGTAGGCATGAGGAGAGGGCGGTCGAGGTTGACATCATGATACTGACATCTCTCTGTATATATGTGTAGTGTGAAGGAAGAGGAAATGAACAATGCGGCGTGCATTTAAAATTCTTTCTGCGGGTACATATGGCCTTTATCGTTTCTCCCATGCGCACTTTTGCTCCCTTCTCGGTCTCCTCATCCGTTGGTTTATTTGATGGGGGAAGGGAGTGGGTTGGGACGGGTTGAGAATAGGGCAGGAGGACCGAATGAAGGATAAAATAATACATGTCTCCAAGAAGGGGGAAAAAACAAACGAACGGAAAAACAAAACGAACATGAGGCGAAGAGGGAGTACAACAGGAAAGAGAAGTGAGAGAGAGGGATAGAAAAAAAGGGAGGAACGAAAAAGAGAAACAAACAAACAAATATTAGTGCCTGATGATGAAGGGAGAGATAACCCTGTACGGCTTCTGCGCGGGTAATCTTGTTTGTTATCAAGATAAGCAAACAAGCATATATATTTTTTTTTTTTTCTTGTTTTGGTGGCTTATATGGAGACATTTGCAGCGAAAAGCCGGGAGAGTAGAGGACATGAAAGAAGACGCAACGAACGGAACTTTCCCTCTTTTTAAATTCTCTTTCCATTTTTGTACGTGTGTAATTGTATGGGTGGAGCTCTAAGTGTATATCAATGCAACACGCAATATATATATGTTGTGTGTGTGTGTGCCTGTGTGAGCGTTGGGGTGTTTCAATGCCCTGTCGTAATATGATGATTGTGCTGCGGTGTGTTTTTAGGCCTTGCATTGGGCGGAGTGAAGGAGTGTAATATAATAATAAATTTTTTTTCCTCTTTTTTTTTGTGTGTGTTTGTCTGCAGTATCTAAACAGATTTAGTGAGGTTTATTTGCTCACAAAGAGACAATTGTTGTTGTTTTGGAGAAGGAGGCCTGCATTTACGAAGCAGGCAACGTCAAAAAGACGTGCGTTTCACACGAAGGAACTGCAGAGGAACTCAATTTTCTGGACAAAATCGGGTAAAGATCGTCTATTGCGTTTACCCCAGGGAACGGAAAGGAGTCCAAAGAAGGTGGAATTTGCGTGTGTTTGTCTGTGTGCGTGACTGGTGGGCGAAACCCGCTGAGGCAAGGAAGAGGCACCATCCAAGAGAGAAGGAATAAAAGAGGAATATATTAGAGACACCCCCTCTGGCAATGTCGACACCGTTGTCAAGGGAGGGGAAGAGGAGTGTGCACAAACCGACTGCCACCCGGGACAAGCCGACGGCGACGACTCCTCTCCGTATGTCCCTGAGGCGGAAAGAGATTCCAGAGGAAAAGGAACGAGGCCCCTTGCGGATGAGCAAATTAACCGCCATATGCCCTACGCGTAGCACAGTGAGCCGGCTCAGTGCGGTACCGTTAATGAATAATAGACGACCTCCCTCAAGCATTGGATCAGCGACCGTCTCGACGACGCCAGTGGCGCGTCCTGCGACAGGCAGTCGGTTGACAACGCGTCGCAGTACGGTAAAGAAGTCACCACGCGTTACACAGTCTCTTAGAGGCCAGTCTAGCGTCCATGATGACTCTCCGGAACCTGCTGCGCCTATTTCCTCGGTTGTTACCGTAAATGCTATGCCGTTGGTGACGTTTTCACCCTCTGTTGATACTGGACCGCGAAGCCTTGGCACCAAGACGCAAAGTAAAGCAGATGTGGGACAGTACAATGTCCCTTTTACCATCAAGGGACCATATGTGCGAGTGGCGGTGGTAAGAGCAAGTGCATCTATATGGGCCGCGAATGGGGAAACTGGTACTATTGACGTTTACAGTAGCGTCTCCGGCTTGTTGTCGACGCGACTTCCTGCACGTACCACGGCGGGTGGTGAAATTATTAAGCCAACGGCACTGAAAGAGACACCAACTCATCTCTGGGTGGGCTACGATGACGGATCCGTTGTGGTGCATGACCATCTTTGCCTTGTGCCGCTAACTATGGGATGCTTCCATAAGGCTCCTGTTATAGCCTTTTGCGTTTTGTCTAATGGTATTACCGTCAGTGGCTCTTCTGACATGGCGTTTGTTCGATGGGACAAGGAAGAGAAGAATTTTGAAGCCATCTCACGGATATTTGGTGTCTCAGAATTGCATCAAGGCTTAACATGCATGGCGGCATTTGGCGCCAACATTGTCTTGTGTGGTTCCATGTCCGGTGCCATTGTTGCGGTGGATTGTGCCTCTGGACTGCAGATTGCAACACTTCGTGGGCACGCCAATCGTGTGAACGCGCTCACTTTAATGGGGAATCTTATTTTCTCAGCTTCTGAAGATGGTTACGTGAATGTGTGGAATGTGAAGGTAGATGAAACGTTTCCGGAGGTAATGCTGCAAAAGAACTTTTATTTATTGAAGTGTATTCCTCTTCAGGTTGCCGTTCGCGACCTTGTCATTCACGAGGGGTCCCGTAGTCTGTGGGTTGCCTACGCCGACGGGCTTGTGGAACGCTGGAGTGCAAACCCAGACGATGACTTTGGCGTGGAGCAAGTGGTGCGTGGGGCGTTTGTTGACGTTGATGAGTCGCAAGAGCACCAGAAGCAGCGACAGGAAGTTATCTCCCTGGACTGCATCAGAAATGTGGATACAATGCGGGTGCTGGCATTGGGCAGCAATGGCATCAGTAAGGTGTGGTGCGGCCTCCGAAACACAGTGGAGGAATCGCTTCAGCAGGCTATAAATGACATGAACGCCATCATTACCCAAGACACCACCGAAGCCGCTGCATGGGAGCAGAAGGCTCTCATATTAAGAGAAAAGGAGGTGCAACGTAAAGAAAAATATGGAGGTCTTTTGACTCGTCTTCATGCACGACGTCTGCTTCTTGCCTACTACACGAAGTGGCGGGCGCGCATTAATTTCCACCGCCTGCGTGGCAGGCAGCAGGAGGAAATCTGCCTCACTCTTGAGGAACGTCACCAATTTCGGCTTGTGCGTCGCTATTTCAGCATATGGTGCGAATTTTATGATCGCGAGCAGCGACGCTTCAGAAGACAGCTCACCGCGGCTGCGCTGGAGCGACTATCCCACCAGACATGGGTCGTGCGGCTGCTCTTTAGGTGGCGAGGCGTGGTTTCGCGCCGCAAAGCACTGCGACGGCAGGGGGAAATTGTAAAGGCCTTTGCTCGAGTTTCCAATGGGTTGATTTTAGGAGAATTCTTTACTCGTTGGAAGTGTTATGATGCCATGCGACGTGGTGTACTGCCGGAAGAAAAACTTGCACTTTTGGTTGGGAAGTCTCGACAACGTGTTCTGCGACAGGCGTATGAAGACTGGAAAATGTCCTACGCAAGTCGAGGACAAAATGCAGTGGGAGCCTCTGTGGCACCTGCTGCAACCGGTGCTGTGACTAAGAGTAGCAATCGTGCAGCCTGTGCCGCAGGATTTGCGGAGGCTTACGCAAAGGTGACAATAGAGAGAGGGCGTCGCCGGGTGTTTTCTGCATGGCGTCGGTGGCATGAGTACCGTTGCGGCATTGTCTCGTTGCGAGCATTGGCTATCGTGAGGGAAAAACAATGCCAACGAAATATTCTGTATCGGGCGCTGCTCTTTTGGCAACTGTTTTGCAGGAAACGTCGCTTCGAGAAACTCTCGCAGGATGTTGAGGAGGTGGAGAAGCGTCTTAGGCATGCGGAGGAAACACATGTCGATATCTTTGATAAGCTACAGCTTCAGAAACGACTGGAGCAGCTGCGTAGACAACAAGAAGAGGATCAGCGGCTTTTACATGAAGAGATTACACGGACAGAAGAACTCAACGCTGACCGCGAGGTGCTTCGTCGGCTTTTAGATCGTTCCGGTTGCATTGATGAGGATGCAACGGCGAGGGCATCGAGTGCCCTTTTTAGTCCCGCCGTACTGAAGCAGCTTCCTATAGGAGAAGCCATGGCGTTTGTTATGGCGCGGATGAAGGGCATGGTACTGAACATCTACACGGATATACAACTGTTTCGTCAGATCAAAGACCGTTTGCGCTGCGGCACGACGGCAGCTGTTATTTTCCTGGAGGGCTTTCAAGAAGTGAAGAGACTTGTCGTGACTTTTTCAAAGAAGCAATCTGTAAACGTGTGGCGCAGCGGGGAGCGATGGCCTCTGACAACTGAGATTCTCGAAAACCTTCCGCTGCACCCTTGTGCCACCGTTGTGCAGGGTATTAAGACAATGGTGGTTGCGTACGACATGGTCGGTGCGGCCGACATTGAGACAGTGTCAGGGACACGGGCCGAGATTGTGACCAATGCAGACCTGCTGTTTATGCTCTGGAGGGCCTGCTACACCGCCCGCAAGCCGCCACTTCCCGTAAACAACAGGGTCTCTTCGCGATTTTAAGCATTCTTTGATCCTTTGAGTGTATTTTTCATATTTATTAATTTCTAGTCCCTTTGTGTGTGTATGCGTTTGCAACAAAGAGGAAAATAGAAGAGAATGTAACAACTGCTGGACTGATGGGAATTTGCAGCCAAAGCCGCCACGCTTCGTGCAAATGGAAACCAAGGGTCTGCTGAGGCGTGTATGTGTGAATATTCAATGTAGAAGATATGCACACTTTTTGTTTGAGATTACAGAAATGAGAACAACCAAGGGGATAAAAGCATTACCTCTTCTGTTTGCATCGACTGATTGCTGCAGCGTATTTACTCACATAGATTCATTTTTAATTTTCTTTGTCTTTGCCTTTTTTTTTTTTTTTTTGATGTAAACACACGGTATTTCCGAACCTGACTTTGCTCAAGCTAGAAAAAGCTTACTTGCAAACTTGGATGAATGGATGGGCTGCGTGCGGCTTCATTCTCTTTCTTCCCGCCGTCTCCCTGTGGATTCTTCAAGTGGGATTTGACTATCACGGGGCAGCGCTGTGCCTGATCAACATGTTTGTACCGTTATTCACAGCATGTGCCTTATGGCTGCGCTCTGAAGTATTGGCTCGGAAATACATAAAGTATGCAGACCATCACTGCAGACGAGGGGACGAAACGCGTGCTCGCGCTGCCGGTGTTTCACGAGTCTCGCCTGTCTTGCCTGCTGTGCTATCACTAATAATGTTTCTATATACTTTTTGGCATGTTGTTGCGGCGGTTTTGTTTTTGTTGGTAGAAACAGGCTTATGGTAGCATGAATCCGTGCTTGATGGATGCGGGGGCGATATTCTTTTTTGTTCGTGCGATAAAGGAGACTACAATTGTGAGCGAATGCTTCTTCTTTTTTTCTTTTCTTAATGCTACTTGTGGGTACGCCGGTGAATTAGGCTTTTGAGAGAATTTTGTTGGCTGATCACCAGTTCACCCAAACGACCTCTCAAATCCAGGCAGCATTACATGCAAAAATGGCAGTGGTGTTTCTTTGCCAACCGTTTTTTTGCTTTTGCGAAAAGGCTCTCTAAATCCTTTTTTTTTTTTTTGTGTGTGTTACTTGTGTTGTCGTCTTGCGCGCACTTTTGCTGTGCATGCAGGAATAGTCTTGAACGCTAGAAACAAGCTACTCACAATGTTTCGCCAGCTCCGCCAGCTTTGCTGCGCGCTGCTCCTGTTGCTGTGCACTGGTGGCGGCCTCGTCATTGCGGTGCCGCACCATTGCGTGTTTGATCTCTTGCCACGGAACGTTGGCGAAGTGACGGGCGGGGAGGAGCCGGCCAGTCCTGTCACTGTGTCCGTGGGCAGTGACTGGGCGCCCCTCCGAATCAAGGTGTTTGCGGATGACCTGGAGGGGTTGGGGGGATTCTGCACCAGGGCCGGGGAGCATATAAACATGTTTTTTGGCAAGGAGATGGTCTGCCAGGAGGAGGACATTCTGACGGAGGAGAAGGTGGACATTCTCGAGAACGTGATTCTTCCCGAGGCGGCGAAGATGCACAGCGAGCGTCTGCTGGTGCGGCCACTGGATGGCCCGCTGGTCGTGCCGAGGTTCCGTGAGGGCAGTGTTTGCGGGAAGTTTCCAGTGCCGGAGGAGGACCACACGGATGGGGTGCCCGATGCGGACATGGTGCTGTACGCGACTGCTGTTCCGACGTTCAAGCCGACCTTTGCGTGGGCGATGCCGTGCGCGACGTTGGGCCCGCGAGGGCGTCCTGTTGTTGGCGTCATCAACTACAACCCGCGCCACATCGAGAACACGTCGCAGCACATCCGCGTGGCTGTGCACGAGATGGCGCACGCCCTCGGCTTCATTGTGGCGGACATGGAGGAGCAGGCGCTGGTGAAGCGGGAGGTGGGTGTGCGTGGGAGGAGCAGTGTCCGCGTTGTGAATTCCCGGAATACACTGGAGCAGGCAAGGCGCCACTACGGCTGCGAGTCCGCGCCGGGCATGGAGCTGGAGTTTGCGCCGCCAATGCGGAATCCAGCGGCGCCAGGAGGGAAAGCAACACCACCACCACCACCAGCACCAGGAGCACCAGGAGCACCAGCAAAAGTATCACCGAAGCCATCATCATCAGAAACAGCACCTTCAGCAGGAACACCACCAACTCTATCTGCACAATCAGCACCGGAGGCGCCATCACCGGGTTCAGCGGCACTACAGGGACCGGGGCAACCACCACAAACATCGTCAGCAGTTCAACAACCATCCGCGCCATCAGCAACACAATCAGCGAGTTTGCCGGGTTCAGCGGCTGCACCACCTGTTCCGCGTCAGCTGGTGATTCGGACTGTCACAGATGCGGAACGAAAGGCAGAAAAGGAGGGGCCCAGACGTCCCAATGCCCGACCCAGATCAGGGCTTACCGATGGTCCACCAATGCAGCTACCAAGAGGAGTTCCATCAGGAGTAAGAGGAAGAGCAGGAAGTGGAGCTGGTAGGCCACCAGCGAGGCCAGGCGCAGGAGGAGCAAGGGGTGAGCAAACTCTCAAGCTGCGTGCGGCCCAACATATTTCCGCATCAACGCAGGCAGCGGCGGACGGAACCCTCTCAACGGGCACCACGCTCACGGTGGTGGAGAAGCAGTGGAGGCCGCCTTCGTGGCTTGGCCTGATGTCTCACTGGGGACGGCGGAACGCAAAGGATGAGCTGATGGCGAGCTTCGTTGTTTCCGGCTACTACACCGCGATCACGATGGCACTGTTCACCGACCTCGGCTACTACAAGGCAAACTTCGAGATGGCGGAGCCGATGAGCTGGGGCAGCGGAGCCGGCTGCGCGCTGCTGACCGACAAGTGCGTGACGGACGGTGCCACGCTGTACCCTGATATGTTCTGCACCGACTCGAGCGACGCCACTCTGCGGTGCACGTCTGATCGCCAGTCGCTGGGGGCCTGCGCAATTTACCAGGACGATAACATCCCACCGGAGTTCCAGTACTTCGCCACCAAGCAGGGCTCCAGGCGAGGGGCCATGATGGAGTACTGCCCCTTCATCGCGCCAATGAATGGCACTGGATGCATGGATGGCGACGAGGCCATCATGCCTGGGAGCGTTGTTGGCCCGTCCTCGCGCTGCTTGACTGGGGAGAACCTCCGGATGGGCAGTACGGTTGTTGGTGACGTGTGCGTGCAGTTGAGGTGTGGTGAGGGCACGCTAAGTGTGCGGTACAGGGGCAGCGAGGAGTGGCATCCCTGTGCACCGGGTCAGACGCTGACGCCCCCGGCGCCATTCACGGCGGGCAGCATAAGATGCCCCTTGTTCAGCGATGTCTGCCTCACCATGTTGAAGCACAGTGATGCGAGCAGCACCGACGTGGAAAGCCACCCGAAACACCTTGCGATGATCAGAAATAACGATGGCAGCGCTCTGGCGGTCACTTCTGCGCCGCTTCTTCTCCTCCTCATTGTGATCGGCACGGTGATTGTCGCACCCTGACCCGTACCTGTTGCCGACACCGCACCTCCCCTGCTCCATGGGCCTCGCTTGGAATCCTTTTGCTATAGGAGCTCAGACATTTTCTTTTTTTTTTTCTTTTTTTTCCTTTTTTTTCCTTTTTTTCCTTTTTTTTCTTTTTTTTCTTTTTTTCTTTTTTTCTTGTTTTCTTGTTTTCTTGTTTTCTTTTTTTTTTCTTTTCTTTTTTTATTTTTATAATACGATGTTTTTTATTGCTTTGTTTTTTGTCGCGGTGAGCCGAAGTCTTTTCGCTCTCTCCCGGCTACAAGAGTGCCTGTGACTTCTCATTGGCCTCACCGCCCGGCGGAGGACATTGTGTAAGGTGTGTGTAGGACGTTTGCTTTGGAAATGACCGGTGCTGAAGTCATGCATCCCCTCTGGCTGTGGTGCATCTGTGTGTTCGGAGGCGTGTTGGCGGAGCGACAGCGCAGGGAACTGACTTCTTCCCCATTTCCCAATATTTTTCCTTTACTATTATTATTGCGCACTGCGACATCCCGTGAAAACGCGCCGAGGGTTTTGAAAGAAGCCTTTTTTTGTTGATGGCGGAGGCGCCTGATAATAGGTTTTTCTTTTTTTCTCTTTTCTGGACGGGCACCGAATGGATGTGCGGGTGTTTTACTTCCTTCTTGTTGGGCTCACTGGGGATGTGTCAGCGCTCTGTGGCGGTAGTTGTGTTGTGTTTTTGGAGTGGAGGCGGGTCTAGCCCGATTGCCTGTTTCTTCTTTTTTGTTGTGTCTGCTTACGAGATTTTTTGGCTGTGCTTTGCATTTGTAGGGTATGGGACGGTTGCGTAGTTCGTGGGTAGCGCGCGATGCTTTTCGGGAGCTAAACCTTTTTTTGCTTCAACGTGCGTGGCACTTCACCGCGCTTGGCAATTATGCCATTGCAGCTGATTACGTCATTCGCATGCTGAATCGCTGCCCGAGGGATCCTGTGTGTCTTCTGTTGGGCGAAATTGTTGCGAAGTTTACGCAACAGGACGCGTTTTTGGCGAAATGCCGAGAGGCACAGCGACGTCTGTGTGTGCAGAATAACGTTGTTGATGCGTTGCAGCTTGTCTCTGAGGAAACAGCGAGGGAAAAGCTGCGTATGTGGCTGGAAATGGCGAGGGATGCCCCAGCGATTGAGGGGCCTATTGAGGAGCAGATGATTGTTCAAGAGAGTGAGCCATTTACAGATACAAGGAGCTCTGTGCGCATGATGGCGCAGCGTGTATCTACACTTCCACTTGTGGAGTTGCAGGAGCCAAAACAAAGTGTCTACGGCCGAGGGATTTATGCACTGGCTCGTATTAATTCTAGCACGCCTGTAATGCTGGACCAGCCATTTCTTGTGCAGCGGATGCGTGACGACGCGTGTGCGCATTGCTTGGCTACAATCGGTAGGAGTGGTGCATCTGCAGGTGGCGTGCGATGTGCACATTGTGATCGGGAGACTTATTGTAGCGTGGCTTGTCGTGATGCGGCGTGGCGTGAGTATCATGTCTGCGCCTGTGTTTCCCGCAACGAAATGTACGCGTTTTGGGAGGGGGCAATGCGTGAGCGGCTGCTGTCGGATAAGATGGAGGAGTCGCGTGCGGCTCTTGCCTGTCTTGCAGTGGCCAAGCTTTGCGTATTGTCTACGGTGCAGCAGATGCATCCACTTGCGTTGCCGCGAATTTGTTCGCTGCGTGGGCGTGCGGACTACGATGCTTCCACGGCGCTCAGTGAGGTGGGCGCGCTTGCTGTAACGTTGGCGACGGCGCTCCGTCAGACGCATCTTTACATGGAGGAGTTGTTGTCTCTTTTTGCGATTGTACAGACGAATGAGTTTTTGCTTCCCAGTGGCATGGCTCTCTATCACGGCTATTCCTTTCTCAACCACAGCTGCGAGCCAAACTGTGCCCTGCTGGGGTCGGGCGCAGCGAACCGCCGTCTTGTAACGCTGCGGGACGTGCGGGAGGGGGAGCAGCTGTTTATTAATTATAACGCAAGCCTTACAACGCGCGTGTCCTACGCGGACCGACGCGCGCTCTGTCAGCAACGGCACTTTGAGTGCTTCTGTCCCAAGTGCGTCCGACAGGAGTGAAAGAGAAGTGCTCTTTTTTTTTTTTTCTTTTCTGTTGTTTGTGGTTGGGGTCTGAGGAGAGGCTTCCACCGTGACGGCAGTGAGGGGGATCATGAGCTAAGAGAAGGAACAAAAGGGTAGCGGGAAAAAATTGGGTAAAGTTGACGTCAGCGTGGCGAGCATTTGTTGAAATTCATTTATTTATGTTCACTACCTGCATTCGCATGCGGCTACTGTAACCGCGATGGCTGCAGCGTATCTCTACGTACATGCGCAAAAATGTCTCTGGCGTGTGAAAAAAGGGGAGCGGTGAGATTTTTTTTGTTTGCTTTTGTGTCACTTTCTTTCTTTCTTGTTTCCATAGCCTTATTCTGTGCGCTGCGCATTTGTTGCCACCGCAACTGACTGTTAGCGTGCAATGCATCTTTCCGCAGTGGCGCGCTGCGCTCCGTCTAGCGGTACACTCAGCAACCGCCTAGCGCATTTGGTGCAACGTGTCGAGGAGCACATTGCATCACGAGGCACCGCTGCGACGGTCCGTGATGACGGTCTCTGGGAGCAGGTGCTGGCCACTGCGCACTGTGCCCGCGCGTTGAAGGAGACGGACACGACTTTGGCCATTGTATTTCGACTTCTACGCTGCGGCTGCTACCCTTCACGCAGCGCTGTATGGCCGGGGCTCATTCGTGACTTGGCGCCGTATAGCGATATTGAGGCCAACGCCGTTCTCTCCTACCCGGGCGTGCCAGAAGGGCCCGAGAGCCAAAGTGAGGCCGGTCCCTGGCGGTGTGCGAGAGTGCCAGAAGATATTCTTGCGGCGGGGCGTGAGTCGGAGGTGGCGGATATGCCCCCACTGCTGCGTCCTACGCGTGAAACGTTGCTAATGACGGGTGGCGTTGTGCCTTTAAGCGCGCGAATACCGTGCAGTGATGGCGGAGCACTCAGCGTTTTGCTCGAGTCGTTTTGCAGTGTGTGTGAGGCTTCACATGGTGGCGACGGTGACGGTGAGATGACTGTTAATTTTTTGCAGGATGTGACGGCTGCTGTTGTGTCTGCACTGCAGCCTATCACCGCGACGATTGTTCTGACGGAGTCGAGTCCACTGGCGAGGGCACTGGTGAGATTTTTTCGACTGCTTTTTAACTTCTCCGCTCGGCAGTCGGGAGGGCAGCTGCATCTTGCGGAGAACTTTGCGAAGGGGCTGACAAAATTGTTACCGGAGAACGCCCTTGGAGGGAGAATGGTGTTGCTGTTTCTTGCCGAACATCACGCAGAGTACGGTGACGAAATGGTGCACATCCCGCTGGTCCGCATCGCTGCGGGGGCCATTTGGCGGCAATACGAGAAGCATGAAAGATTTTTTTGTCTTCGACAACTACAACATGTCAACGACGCGGTGGATGTCACGCTGCAGCGGAACGCAAACAATGGAAATCCACTCGCGCTGGATGACTCGGACGAGGCGGCACTTCGGTTGTTGCTATCTCTTGCGTTGCTTCGGGCCATGCGTGTGGAGGCTGTATCCCCTGATGTTTTCTTACGCGATGCCGTTGACATTGTGGATCGTTCTCCCATGACGCTTTCTATAGAGTACGAGCTGATTGTAGCCAAGGTGGAGCTGCTGGATTTGTTCCTGGACGACGAGTCCAGCTCCAATGCCATTTATGATGATCTGCTACATTCTTTGCGTGCCATTGTGGAGCTTCGCCCGCGAGACGGCGTGGACGGCGACACATCTGCCGTCCCTGACGCGACGCACAACTCAATTAAAGAGGATGAGGAGGAAGTGAGGGAGTTAGCACGCCAACACTTTCAAGAAGCTCATCGGCTTGTTTTGACGGTCTTTGCCCGTTCCCAATTGGATGAGCGTCTCAACCAGGCGTACACTGTCCTGGTCACGCACAAGTATCATGGCCTTGTGATCACCAGGGACGTGGCGAATCCGCTTTTAGATGCCCTCAGCCGTCGTGGAGATTGCCGTGTTTTCAACATTGTTGATTTGTGTGTTTTATATAGCGGGAGCCACATTGACTACGACACCCTCACGTACCTTTTTAGAGCTTGTCGTGTGGCCGGTGACTTTTACCGCGCCCGCACTCTTTACCAGTTACTACGAGAAATGATACCGGGGTTTCTACTGCGGGCACCGGAGGCTATCAAGGACGCCTTGCAGGAGCTGAAGATACTGCAACCAGAACCGGCTCATTTATTTCCTGCATCTTTGGCGGTAGATGGCGATGAGGCGGCTGCGGCTGTGAATTATGAGGGCGTCGTGGATGATGAGGCGTTGACCGTACGCCAACGGGGACCTATTCGAGAGTTGCCGACAAAACGTACCCACACGCCTTCTTGATTCGTTGATTTTCTCAGTTTATTCCTTTTTTTTTTTTGTGCAACTCTGCATGCTTTGTGTGTGGGATATATATATTACACACGTCAATACATAAGAATCTGCTTTTTTTTTTCTTTGTTTCTTTGCGCGTGCATGCATCCGGGATGATGACTACACGATGCAAAAAACAACAACAATAACAAACAAAAAAACAAAAAGGAAAGGAAAAGGGCGGTGTTGGTGGTGGGTGGGGTAAAGAAACCCGGCCGCATTAAATTATATACACGCATTGTGTTCCTCTCTGTGTGAGTGAAGGAGAGAAAAAACAGGGAGAATCCAAAAAGGAAGGAAAACACGAGGAGCACGCAAACAACGCACATCGATCCAATAACAACAAACAAGCAACCACCGGAGGAGGAAGGGAGGGGGCAAATAACACATGAGCGACGACCCGAATGGAACACGTTGGTCGAAGTCCGATAACAATATCGGCAAATCGATGCTGAGGCGCTCCGGCTGGACGGAGGGCAGCGGCCTGGGGAAGAGCCAGGAAGGCGTGACGAGCCACATCAAGACACGGCGGAAGGATGGCGTGATGGGAGTTGGCTACGAGGGCGGCGTGCAGGAAGCATGGAGCGCGCAGTCGGTGGGGTTTGCCGATGTGCTCTCAAGAATAAAGAATGCCGTCGCCGCGGGATCCTCCGACTGCGGGGAAGGGAGGGATGCCGATGAGGAAAATGAAACCCCTGGCCCGAGTGGTGGGCGGCATGTCTGCATGTATTCCAAACGGCACGCGCTAAAGACGGAGCTGCTGAGGTCGAAGAGTGGGGTGTTGTCGTCGGAGATTCTTGGCAGCGCCAGCTCCTCTCGCAAGCGAACGCGTAATGGTGACAACGAGAGCGAGGAGGATGCCGCCCTCTTATCGACACTCCGGTCCCCTTTGTTGCAGCGCGTGATGGTCCGCATGCCGAGGCACGAGCCGAAGGCGTTAACGAAGGAAGACACGAATGAGATTGAAACGGTCCGCATCACAAAGCCGCAGCCGCGACCGCCGAAGTGCACCGATACGCCATTTCTTGCAACAACCGAGTAGACTGCGGGGGGTGATTGTTGTTGTTGTTGTTGTTGTTCTCACCGTAAATCCCGCGGCTTGGCGGCCCGACGGCAAATTATTGTCAACCACAACTCACCCATAAACGTGTAAATTAAAACAGAAGTGCAGATAACGACTTGGTGAAACAGAAACAAATATTTATGGTCATCTCATCATTAAGAGTATATTGGCCAACTCTCTTTTGCTTAAATTTTCTTTTTTTTTTTTTTTGCGCGTTTTTTGCTTCCCATTTTGTGCTGCTACTTATATTTATTATCATATTTTTTTTTTTTTTGCATGCTCCACTTTTTACTGATTGGCCGCAGGTTTTTTTCTGTGCTTTGAACGAGAAGAAAGAAAAGGGGAAGAAGGTGAGGCGGGAATTCTGTTTCTTCTTGTATTTTATTTGGGTTGGTATATACAATCCATACGTACACACGCATACGGTTACACGTATTTTATAGACTTTTAGGCGGTGATAAAGAATACTGCGATAGATATTTTTTTTTGCAATTAACGAGGTGATTTCTGAAGGTCCGCTACACACTTTTTCTCTATTTAATACACATCTACACACACCCTTTTTGCAGCTACAGCAGTGGCAGCAGGAGGGGAGGCAGTGAAAGGGTTTCTCCTTTTTTTTTTTGTGTTTGCGTCTGCCTGTTTTGGGCGTTTGAAATGACGGAGAAGGTGCGTGTTGCGGCCCGCATTCGGCCGTTGCCAACTGCCGGTAGTGTGCTTGCCGTTGCGCCGCTCGACGAGAGAAGGGTCTGCGTTGCTAATCGCCGTGTCTACCACGTGGACCGTGTGTACGGCCGTCATGACTCAACTGAGTTGATCTTCTTTGAAAGTGTTGTGGCGCTCGTGGATCGATTTCTTGCTGGATACAACGCGACGGTCCTCGCCTATGGGCAGACGGGCACGGGGAAGACATATACAATGGACGGCCTTACCCCACTTGTGGTGCGGTACATCGTGGAGAACATGTCAAACTCCACATCAAAACTTAGTTTTCAGTGTATTGAGGTCTACGGTGAGACGCTGCGTGATCTCCTTACAGACGACCCCGTTGGCTCGACGAAACATCTGCAGCTGCATGAGAGCGACGGCAGCGGCAGCGGCGGTGGCGGGGTAGTGGTGGTTGGCGCCGCTCGTGTGAAGGCCCGCAGCATAGCGGAGGTTCAGGACATCCTCAACCATGGCGCCCGCATGCGTACGACGGGCGCGACGAATATGAGTGAGCACTCATCGCGTAGCCATAGCATTTTTACGATCTTTAATCATGAGCGGGAGTCCAAATTGAATCTTGTTGATTTGGCCGGGTCGGAGCGGAACAAAAAGACACAAAACGTGGGTCAGCGCTTCCGTGAAAGCATTGCCATCAATGGCGGTTTGTTGGCTCTTGGGAACGTTATTCGGGCGCTTAGTCGAAATCATTTCCAGTCCCCTGAAAGCCCTCGTCATGTGCCGTACCGCAGCAGTAAACTGACACGTCTTTTACGGGATGCACTTGGTGGGAATAGCACGACACTCCTCATTGCCTGCGTCGCCTCGGATGCGTCAAACAGCGACGAGACGACGCGTACGTTACAGTACGCTGCCTTTGCCATGCATATCCTAAACGAGCCATTGCCGCAGTTTGATGATCAGGTGGCAGCGGCGGAAGTTGTGAGATACGCGGACGCCGGCCACGACCAGGAATTCGTGGCGAGGAAGAATGCCGATAATATTTCCTCAGAAGCCGCAGCGGAGGTGGGGCGACTGCGGCAGCGAGTTGCGGGGCTTGAGGAACAGGTGCAACGGTGCCGCGACGAGCTTAAGAATGATGAGGCGGTCTTTGCGCAGCAGATCAAAGAAATGCGATTACTGCTGGAGGAAAATGAGTCACTGAGGAGACGGGTAGCATTTCTCGAGGGTTGTCCCACCGCCACACCGCGATCAACGCCAGATATGAGGCAGGCTAACTGGCAACAACAACAACAACAACACCAAGAGCAGCAGCAGTGGAATTCAGTGCCGATTCCGCCCAATGTGAACTACGTCCAGGACACCCTGCAGCTTTACGGCATAACTCCCCGACAGAATGACCAAAGTTTCTTTTCACATCCTTCGTCCCAACCGCGTCCCGCTGTTTGGGGAGAAGAAAGGGCAGTGCGAAGCCACGAGAGACACCTACCAAGCGACTCTTTGAAGAGGCCCATTGTTGCGGCAAGATGGGGTGGGGCTGCCGCAGCGGTGAATGCGGCGGGTGAATGCACTCACGTCAACAAAATTGAGGGTGGCTGGGGCGATGGCGGTCAGCAGTTGACGGCAAGGGAGGAACAACTTGGCTTATTGGCGAAGGAGGCACTTTACTATCAAAACAGTAATAGTGAGTTACGCCGCCGTCTTCGCACGGTGCTTGCGATGTATGAGGCACAGCAGCACGAAGCGGCCATGTTACGTTTAGAAGTGAAGCAGATTCACGACTTACTCGATGGACCACCTCACTCTTAGCGGTTGTTGCTGATTCATTACAGGTCTCTTGTAATTGCCTGATACCGCCTTTGTAAGGTTGCAATGGAAAGAACTTATCTCCCTCTTCCTCTCCCTCTTTTTTTTTTTTTAAGGTTTATGTCATTTGTCTGTATACATTAAATATATATATATATATTTTGTCTGATCGACGTGTTCCTTTTTTTTTTTTTTCCTATTGGCTTCGCGTACGAGCAGGCCATTACTGGACACACGGCGCATGATTACATGCGTGCCTTGTGTTGTTTTCTCCAATGGTCACCTTTTTTTTTCTATTTTTTTTTTTTTCTCTTTTCTTTTGCTCAATGAAGGTGTTTTTTATTTTTTTGTATTTTTTCCTTTTTTTTTTTGCGTGTGCCGTTGTTCAGGCATCATGGAAGAGGCAGGAGGCGGTAGGCCCACAGGTCCATCCGCGACGAAACGGAATGACGCCACGCTGTCGGTACCGCGTGGTGCCGGCATCACACTAGTGGAGTCGCTGCGGCGCCGGCAGGTGCAGGCGGAGTTGCAGCTGCGTGAAACGGAGGATCGATTTCGCCGTGACTGTGCCAGGCAGGAGCAGGAGTTGGATCTGCTGCGTATTGAGAATAGTAAGTACAAGGCAAAAATCGAAGAGTTACGCATGGCACAGACGGCGCCGCGGGAAACGTCGATGTACACGTTTGCTCGCGGCGGGGAGTCCAACCTGCTTCGAGCATCCTCGCATAAGTACTGCATGGCGCGCGAGGCGGTTGAAAAGGCCCGAGAGGTATTAAGTGAAATCAAGGCGAGGGTCGTTGCTTTGCGACAGCGCATTCACGACATGCAGCGACAATGTGGCAATGCTCGCTCGCGTGTGGATCATTCCAACAGGCAATCACGTCGCAGCTGCATTGAAATTGAGCTGCAGACGCGGGCCTCGCGTTTACAACTCCGTGGGCTTGAAGCCCATGTTGAGTTTGAGACGGATCGGCGGTCGGGTATCATCGAAGAGGTGAAGGCCCTGCGGAGAGATATTGACGTGCTGCTGACGGCGCAGAGACGCGGTGACGAAATCTTCCAGGAGCGCGAGAATGAGATGCTGGAGATTATGAAGGAAACTTCCTTTCTTATTGAAGTGTGCAACGTTCTCTGTGAGGAACGCGATGCTTATCGGCAGCAACTAATAGAACTTCAGCGGGCATCCGAGGCAGATCACGAGGCCTATGAAAATGCATTTAGCGATCTAGTTGGGGTAGAGGAGCGTGATAAGGTGCTGAAGGCGAAACTGCGTGAAGGCGTCGCCAAATTGGAGGATGAATTGCGGAGTGTCACCCGGGAGCGAGAGGCTGCGGAGCGTCTCGTACGCGAGGATGAAGCCGCCAGTCGCGCGATCAGACATGGAGAAAATGGGAACGATGATGACAGTGAGCCAGAGAACAATGATCTTTCGCGCCAGGTGGCGGAGTTTGAACGTTACATTGGTCGGCTTGCGGAAATGGCCGGCTCTGAGAGTCTTCCCGACATAGAGCGTTACATATGTGAGGGTGGGGAGGAGCGGTTTCAGCTGTACTCTTTGCTCCACCGCACGCAGGATGATTTGGCAGCTCTTGAAAAGGAGAAGGAGGCGCTCCAAGAGGCGCGGTGGATTGCGACAGAAGGCTCGGAGGTCGAACACCACGCTCGTGAGGAGCTGGAGGAGCTGCAGGCAAAACTGCGTCAGATACAAATCGATACCCTTGACCACGAGCAGCAGGCGGAGTGTGTGAGGGCACAAATTGATGCCAGCCTACCGGACGTGCAGTCCATCTTTGACGCGCTGGGATGCGATGATAGCATGATCATCGCTCAGCACGGCGTGTCGGTACTTTCCCGCGGCACGGTGAAGCTTTTCCTTGCCTCTATTGAGCAACGGCTGGAGGAGTACGTGGCAGCCTGGATGCAGCGACAGCAACCGTCGCACGTTCTATCTCCAACTGTGGGTTATAACGCGTCGGGCTTTGGAATCACGGCACAAATGGAGACATCAAAGACGATGCCAGCAGCGTCGCCACATGTGCTTCCGTCCACGAACGAACCGGAGGCGATGGAACACGAAAAGGGTGTCACGGGGGAGTTACTTCGCAGTGAATGGGCGCATGTGTTGGTGAAGGGGCAAGTAGAGAATGGGGGTATAGACGTCAACGATGCAGGGGGCACACGTGACATCAAACTGTCGGTTTAGAGATCAGTAAATGAAATTTGAAAATACACATACACACACAAAAAAAAAAAAAAAAAAAAGGGAAGGAGACGGGCGCACATTAAGAAATTTGCGTGAGAACCGTGAGCGAAAAGGAGACAACTTTTCCGCCCTTTTCCCCACCCACACACTCCACTCGAATGAGAAGCAAACAGAAGTAAGGAAACATATATAAAAAAAAAGCACAGAAGTTAAATATGGGGCTCCATTTTCTTTTCTACTTTTTTTTGTGCGTTCTTTGTAGAGGGCTGAGGAAGTAGTATGGGGCGTTTTTTTTTTTTTTTTTAGTGGTCTGGTGGATGTGCGTGTATGCGTGTGCAGGCGAATGGCATTTCTTTTGTGTTTTTTTATTTTTATGAGGTCGGGTGGGGACGTGTAGGTCTGCGGCCCCTTTCGATTTGCAAACCATTTAGAGAAGGTTCTGTGAGAGAGATGTATTGGCATTTTTATTTGGCCCCCGGTCATGTAATGGCATCAGTATATATGCGTGTAATATACATATGTATATAGAGTATATCTATATTATGCACGCGACAAGCATATTTCAATTTCTTTTTCTTCTTGCACTTTGTTTCTTTGGCCCTTTCCGTCTCTTGTTAATAAGGGTATTTTCTTTTACAGTGCTGCTGCCTTTTTTGTTGATGTGTGTGTGTGTGCCTTTGTCTCTTTATCTCTCTCGGTGTTTTTTTTCTTGTGTGTGGCGCGATCCATGTAGACGGTAGTCGTGCTGTCATTCTCGTCTTCGTTGTGTGTGTCTGTGCCGCATATGACGGAGGGCGAGTCGCAAAAGTGGAAGTCGTCTCTGCTCCAGAAACGTCTGGTGACTCGCAGTGCATTTTGCAACGAAGCATCGCAATGCGCCGCGTCCATTCTGCGCTCCGAAGCGGCTCGCGTGGATGGTCAACTTTGCGATGACGTTCGCGCCGTGTTGGCCGGCAACGCAGTTTACATCCGCCGTTTTGTGTGTGACGAGGCTGACATGCGGCTTTACGAGAGGCTGAGGGCGGAGTTGGTGGCCGCGACGGGGGCGAACATGTCACGCGACGGCGGACGCATCGATTGGAGCCGTCATGAAATATTTGAGAACCCGACAGGAATCAGCGCGATGTTTAACGAAATAATAGAAATGCTGGCGGAGTACTTTGATTTGGACGTGTACGCCACGCGACTGAATTATTACCGCGACGGGCATCAGTGGAAGCCGCAGCATCACGACAGCCATGCGTATGGAGGCACCTCCACCCACGCCGGCGAGAGGTTGCGCGAGGACTTTACGGTGGGCATCACACTTGGGGCGACGCGCAGTCTTCTCTTCGTGCACGAGGCCTCTGGCCAGCAGTTTGACTTCCCGCAGCGCAACGGTGACTGCTTTGCCTTTACAAGTGAAGTAAACAACGCATTTACGCACGGGGTACCGCGTGTTAACACGCCGATTGGCGATCGTTTCAGCATCATCGCGTGGGGGCGGCGTCGTGCGATGAATGAACGTAACAGTGATCGAGCGGTGACTTCTTTTGAAGGCAGCGATCTCCGATCCGTCGATGACGCCATACAGGCTGCCCATCAACTTGTCTCCCGCGCTTCTGCATCCACAAGGCAAACGGTGGCACCAACACTGTCGACGAGTATGGAGATGAACGACGGGAACAGCCATAGAAATGAGAGCAGCGCTGGAAGCAGCGTGCCCGCGAAGAAAAAGAAGAAGAATCGACTTCAGTGAGTGGTCGAGGGAAGAAAAGATACGCGCATCATAATGACGATAAAAGGAACAGCAAGAAAAGCAATGAGTAAGTTTACCTTAACCTGTGTGTGTGTGTATGTGTGTGTGTGTGGGAGATCCACACGGTGCTATCCTCAATATGCAAATAAAGATAGTACGTGTAAACCATAGAGCGAATGAGTCAAATGAGTTTTATTGTCGCGTTTGCTTCTACAAGTGTAAGTGTCCTCGTGGAATACCATGTGTTGTCGGGTATCTCGACGCATTTATGCGTTTTAAATTATCTTGTATTTTTTAAAAACTTTTTTTTTTTTTCTGGTACCGTGTGGATAAAGAGTGCGGTAAACCGTACCGTAAGAGAAGATTATATATATTTTAAATAAAACAACAATGACTGACCTGCGTATGACTGAGCGCCCGGGCTTTACTGGGAAACTCAACGAGAAAATCCTGGAGCGCGTCCGATTCCTGGCAGGAGAGCTGCAGATACCTGACCTCGAGTCGAAGTTCCCCCACTTGAAAGTGACGGACGGCTCATGGCGCCCACCGCTTCCGGGTGATGATGTCAACTTGGCTGCCTACATTGACCACACGCAGCTTAAGCAGGAGGCGCCAATGGCAGACATTGTGAAGCTCTGTGAGGAGGCGAGGCAGTACAAATTTTATGCAGTTTGTGTGAACAGTTCTCGCGTGAAGCTTTGCGTGGAGAAGCTGCGTGGCACAGGCATCAAGACTGGCGCATCATGTGGCTTTCCCCTTGGGGCATGCAGTACCGCAGCGAAAGTAGCGGAGGCGAAGACGATGGTGCAGGAAGGCGCGGAGGATATGGATATGGTGCTGAACGTTGGTGCGCTGAAGGACAAGGACTACCGTTATGTCCTGGAAGACATTAAGGCAGTCCTTGCTGTGTGCCCACCGCACGTGACGACAAAAGTTATCTTTGAAACGTGCCTCTTGACGGAGGAAGAGATTATTGACTGTGCCATCATCTCTGTTGTGGCGGGCGCAAGTTTTGTAAAGACATCCACTGGGTTTAACAGCGGTGGTGGGGCCACACCGGAGGCCATTGATGTCATGCTCGCCGTTGTTGGCAAGGCTGCGAAGGTGAAGGCGAGTGGTGGTGTGCGGGATCGGTTCACAGCCTTGCAGTACGTGAAGGCAGGTGTTTCCCGCTTAGGCACAAGTAGCAGCATCGCCATCGCCACGTGCAAGTGAGGGCAAATCGCGAGTTTCCGGCCGGCGGCACCCGCAGCGGCAAAACAACGTGCGGGGGAGGGGTGCAGCATCTGGCATGGACCCGGGCGGGGTGATGACGACAGAGGAAAGAAGAGAAAAAAAGGGAGCAAAGCCATAAAACAAAAATGGACAAATAAACGGAGCCAGGACTTTAAGTTTCCACTGGGGGCGAAAAGGGCGGGTTTGGTGCAGACCAACGGGGGGAAAGAACAAAAATGGGGGGTAAAGGAAAAAAGACGATGGAATTTGGATGTCTGGAAGAGTGTTGCCGTACGTACACGTTCTGCGGGGGAGAAAACAAACAAACAAACAAAAAAAAACGTTTATTTGCATTATTTGTAACTTTGCTGTGTCTTTTCTTTTTTAATTTTTTTTTATTTGATACATTTTTCTTGGCCCTGCTCACGGCTTCCCTCGCAATCATCGTAGCTATTCATAGTTAGACCCACGGGCATTGGCGATATTCACGCACGGACCTCTTCTCCAGAGCGGGCAGGGAGGTGGTAAGGGGGTGGCACGTGTTTTCGATGCAAAAAGAAAAAAAAAGAAAAACAAACAAAAAAGAAACTTGTCTTTGGAGCGTCTTTGCAGAGGAAAAATCACACATCCTTCATTCCCGGTGAAAACGGCGACATTTTTTATTTGGTGACAAGATGCGCGTTCACCGCGGAGTAAGGGACGTGAAGCGCGATGGTGACGACCGGAGGGACTTTGTGCGGTATGACGACGAGGAAAATGTTGGCAGCCGCCCTCACTCCTCACCCATAGCGCAGTGGGCGGACTGGAGTCAACAGTTTTTTTCGAGTCTCACTGCGAGCACCTGCCGCGATTCTTCTGTATCCTCAGAGGTGACAGAACCACGCGCGAAACTGGCGGTTACAGAACGTGAATTAGTGCGCACCAGAGAGTTGCTACTGCAATATAAGCAGTATGTGGAGAAGCGATTGCTGCGGCAAATTCAGAAACTGGAGGAGGAATGTGCCCAACGCGGTAAGTTTTGCGAACGTCTGAAGCGCGACAATGCGTTGCTTTTGGAAGAGATGGATCGGTATCGTGTGTCAGGGGCATCGACGGCGGGGACTTATTGTTCCAATGGATTGAAGCGTCAACACCACCCATCACCTCCGGGGAATGCGCATCAAGCTTCATTGTTTTCTTATCCCACACCACTTTCCCCACCACTGCCGTTGCCAGAGCGTGAGGACTCAACAAAAGGTGTGCTAGAAATGCTTCGAAGTCGTGAGTCAACACTCCTCAAGCAGCTTCATGAGGAACGGACTGAACGTGAGCGGCTGGAGTTGGAACATGCTGAGGCGATGCGGAGTTTGCAGGAAAAAGTGGCAGAGCTTGAGGAGAAGAGGCGTGTGGGTATTGATGCGACCACCATTCAGAATCTCCGTGAGGTCCTTGCACGACGGGACGACGAAATCCGTCAGCTACGGAAGTTGCATGGCTTTTCCATCGTGGAACCGCTTGAGGAAGATGAATCTCAGGGCATAGAAGACGGTGCTGTGGCGGAATTGAAGCAGGCGGCGAGAGATGCGCTTGAGTTTGTGGCTGCAATAAACGCAACGGCCACGAATAAAATTGAAACACATACACTTCCATTAGCATCCGAAAAGGGCATCCATTTCAAGGATGTGGAGGAGTTGTGGAAGGAGACCATCTGCGCCATCGCGTCTTTTTCGGATGGCACATCCAATTTATCGCATCAGCCATTGGTTTTGCAGGCTGTTACAAAGTCGGTGCGTTGTGCCATGGAGGCAGAACATAACCAAATGGCCCTTTTTTTGCGGCAACTATTTTATGAAATTGAAGAGATGCACAAATTTATTGAGCGAGAGCGGCGTGAGCGGGATTTGGAGCGGCAGGTGGCTGCACATCGTCTGTGCGAGGTGGAAGAAGAGAGCACGGCGTTGGTGCAGCGGTTACAGCGGGAGCTTAGCGAGGCGGCGCAACGCGCCTCATCGTGGGTGGCACTAGAAGAGCCGGTTGTGCGGCAAAGGAGGGAAAAAAGCTTACCAACAAGCGGCATGCAGAGGTGTGATGTGGCCACACAAACAATGCCGTCCGTTCAACTGTCAGGTTTGCTAACCGGTGGGATGAGTAGCTTTCCTGTGCCCCAAAACGGTGCGTACAAACCACTTTCAGATGATTTGGGGCACCTCCTGCATGAAATGGAGGCTCTTGAGAGGGACAACAATGAGAAGTCCGCACTTATCGCCAAACTGAGACAGCAGCGAGAGCGTTTTTTGGGTAGCGTGGATGCGGAACTTGCACTGAGTTTTCCTGAAAGAACGGCTTTGGCAACCTCCTTCCCTCAGTACTTGCTTGAGTGAGAAAAGGCTCTTTTTTCCCTTTCTGGTGCTGGGGCGTGATAGGGGGGCAGAATGTGGTGTGCAAATGTGTTTTTTATATTTCAGCGTCATTATTATTATTATTATTATTTTCTCTTTTAAGATCTTTTTCTTTGTTTTGTTTTTTGGTTTGCCACGAATTAAACGGAAATGCACATCTTCTCCAATAAGAAAAAAAAAGGGCAACGCTACAAGTCACCAGCTGTTGTCTGCCTTTTGTTACGGTGAGCCTTCGCCGTAGTACCGCCAGAAGCTTCTAATTTCTGTTTTTTTAAGGGGTGCTGGGTGCGTTATGTTCTTGACGGTGTCTTCTTTCGATCGTGGAACGCCGCCTTTGCACGAATTGCCGACATCGAGGTGTCGTGGTTTCGGGCACATGAGTCACTCGCCATCGAGAGTCGCGGCTGCCGCCGAGGAGTTGGTAACATTACCAAGGACGCATTTTTTTTTTTTTTTTGTAATGCCATGACAGTGTAGCGAAAATGAGCAGCCTCTTGCGGTATTTTACACGCCGCACCCAAAGAGGGGAAGGATGCGTTTGCCTGAATGTTTCCCTGCCGGAGATGGGGCCCCGCGTATCCTCTTGAGTTACAAGGGCTAAGATTCGCCAACTCATATGCGTTGCGTGCCGCACAGGCGGCGGTGAGGCGTGTAGAAGTGTCCCGGCGAGCATGCGAATGCTTTGGCCAGCGACAAGGTGGGCGCCTTTTCTGGTGATTTTTCTCTCTGTTATTCCTTTGGGAAGACGAAAACATCCGTGGTAGCTGCAATGGATGCGATGTACTTTTTATCTCCCGCACCTGCGGACCCCGCGAGAGTTTTACTTTGAGATAACTAAGCGTCAATGGATTTTTTTTTATCTTTATTTCTGCGTTTTCCCTCATGGTGAAATGGCGTGTATGTCTTTTTTTTTGTGTTTATGGCCACTGTTTTGTGGGTGACCTTTTTTTTTTTCTTTCGGCTGCAAGCAAAAGGGAGGGGGAGAGCTCATACAAGGCGTGAGTAGTGCTCGACACCTCTGCCCACCTCACACACGTGCCTGTTTATAGAGGGAAGGGCATCGAAGTGTGCGGGTGTCCTTTTTTGTGTGTGAGATATTTGTTTATCACTATTGTTATTTGTTTCTGTCACCCAAATTGTTGATGGCAACCCCTGTGGACCCGACGGATGATCGGTCGCGAAGGCAACGTCCGCGTCCGGCGCAATCCCCGGCAATGATGTCCACCACCACCACCACCACCGACGATTTGGCAAGCGGCACGGAGGAGAGCGCCAGCTCGTTGCTGCGTCACGATCCGCAGCTGGCGGCCGTGCTGGGTGGACTGCCCAGTTCATCTAAGGAGCTCTTGCGGCGCATTGAGCGACAAAAGGACGAAATTCGTATTTTGCAGGAGGAGAATACGCGGCTGCGGGCGCGGGAAGTTGAAGTTTCCGCGTTGACTCTCCGTCTGCAGCAGCAATTTGGGGCGACGCAGTCACAGGTGGACCGTCTCAAGTCACAGATACGTATGGAGCTCATGAACCCCATCACAGAGGAGGAGTACAGGGCGATTGATTCCCTTGAGGAGGGGAAGCGGGATCTGCTGGACACAGTGAAGCTTGGTATTTATCACCAGCTTGGGTCAATGCGGGCTGCGAAGGACGCGGCAATGCAGAGGGCGACGGAGATGTCGACAGAGACGACACGACTTACACGTGAGAACAAAGAGCTTCAGCAAAGGCTCAAAGAACTGGAGGCGGTCGTGGAGGCGGAACGGCAGTCCTTCCGACGTCAGCTGCAAGAAGTGGAGCAGCGCGGCAGTAGTGTGGTGGAGCTCGAGGGGAAGGTTCGGGAATTAGAGTCAAGACTGAAGAATGCCTACATGGATCAGGAGCAGTTTCTCACGGCCAAGCTGAATGCATCTGTCAAGATGGAGGAGGCCACACGACTTGGAGTGCGGCTTCGTGAGGCGGAAATGGAGGCGGAGCGATACAAAACAAGTGCCGAATGCTCGGAGCAGAAGCTTGACATACTCAAGTCGGAGTATTATGAGTTGAAGCTAAAAAACAGCCAGCGGGTGATGGAGCTTGAAGCGTGCCTCAGAGGAGCGGAGGAGAAATTGAAGACTCTTGCTGACCTTGAGCTCGAGTCCGAACTGTTTGTCTCGAACTTGGCGATGCAGTCCGGTGGACAAGTGTCACTTACCACTGCTTCAGTTTCTGCGGCGGCAGGAGGTGATGGGGCACCCTCGGCGCCTTCCGCCACCGATGCCTTGAGTAACTATGAGAGCTGGCTTGCCTTACCGCGTTCACGCAAGTTGGCACATACGCTTACCGTAACGAAACGTTGTCTGCAATTAGAGAATCGTCTCGCTGCCATACAGCACGACGTGGAATTTAAAGACAAGCAGATTGCGCGGCTGCAGGCTTCCCTAGATATGGCGCGGGAGGCGTTGAACAACTCCAACAGTCCCTTTGCCATGGTGGAGCGCTCTGTGGAGCGACTCACGAATGAAAACGAGGAACTCCACAATAGGACTGTGATCCTTTCGGATGAAAACACATTACTGCGCCAGAGACTAGAGCAGCGCACCGCTGATGTGCGGGTTCTTTGTCGTCATCGCAAGGAGCTCCTGCGCATTCAGCGCGTTTTGCGGCGTCTTGGTATAGAGGGGCAGGTAGCAGATCCCGCAGCTGCGCCGCGTTCACAGGGAATTCAGCAATCCCTGCGGCCGTTGTCGTCGTCACAAGAGCAACAACAGGATGTGGAGGACACGAAGGATCCACGACCTATCAGTGCACGCTCTATTGTGGCGCGACAGGATCCGACAGTTGAGTCGCTTTCTTCCCTATTTCGTCAACATGCAGAGGAGCCACTGAAAACAGTAACAGAAACCGAAACAGCTGCGGCCACGGAGGCGAAACAAAAACAAGCGCAACAACGGTCTCATGATGCGGAGGAATCTTCGAGCGGTGTATTTATACCAAGACCCATTCAAATAATATCTTGATTGCAGCATTACTTCTTTTTTTCTTTTTTTTTTTCCTTTACAAGCTATGAAAAATTGTGGGTGGAGGAAAAAGGAGGTCGGTTTTGCAGTTTTTATTGGCTTACTTTGCGATTTTTATTTGCATTTGACCCATTTTTTTATTTTATTTTATTAAAATTATTATTTTTATTATTATTTTTTTATTTTTATTCTTGGGTTAACTGCTGTAGCGGGCGCTTTCCCGAGAGATGGATGAATCGAGTTGCAATTTTTTGTTCGATTGCCCTTCTTTACTCATTGCAAGTAGTCACTCCTTTGATGTACAAAAAGAAAAAAAAAAGTACGTGCGTCAGTAGATGGCGTGCTTGATTGTTACTTCAGCATCGTTCTTTAGATCCACCGGCAAATCGTGCAATGCTGAGAAAATAATTTCAGCGTCGCCGACGCCCAAAGAAGTTAGTGCAACACGAGAAGAAAAGAATGCACGGAACACGCAGGGCGACTGACGACCTCATGATGCGATCAATCGAGGCATTTGTATGACCGTGACGATGAGTTACACCTCCGTGCACCCAGCTACCTACAACAGGCACGGGACTGACGCGCCCCCTCTCTCCACGGCCCTCTCCGCCGCCTTCTCCCTCTCTGTCTCTCTGTGCCACGGTGCACCACCTCGCCTCCTCCGTCGTGCCGGAGTGTGCTTCCCGGGCTGTGGCGGGCCACTGTTTGCCCCCTTGTTTCCTATGGGGGTCTGCCGTGCATGTGATGCGTCCCGATCGTCTTTATCCTAACAAAGCGTCTGACTCGTTTGCGTGAGGTGCACTCTGTACCCGTCTCTGATGGCATTGCCACCCCCATTTTTCTACCATTGCGCAGCCTCCGGAGGGGAGTCTTGCCGAGTTGCGGAGGGCGACGCACTCCTGCTGGCGGAGGCGGACCACACGCCACTGCGATCGAAGGCCATTGATGTCCCGCGGCATTTGGACTGGTGTGTGCCAACAGCTGGTCGCAAAATGATTGTGCGGTACAGAGCTGTGGAGTGCAAAGAGGACTGCGACGGATTTGTGCCGTGCTCGACTGCTGCTTTTGCCCTGCGCGTGCCTGTTTGTGTTGGGGCCATTTTATTTCTCTTGTGTGTTTGTTCTATTTGTCGTCTTGTGCGCACTTTTGCTGTGCATGCAGGAATAGTCTTGAACGCTAGAAACAAGCTACTCACAATGTTTCGCCAGCTCCGCCAGCTTTGCTGCGCGCTGCTCCTGTTGCTGTGCACCGGTGGCGGCCTCGTCATTGCGGTGCCGCACCATTGCGTGTTTGATCTCTTGCCACGGAACGTTGGCGAAGTGACGGGCGGGGAGGAGCCGGCCAGTCCTGTCACTGTGTCCGTGGGCAGTGACTGGGCGCCCCTCCGAATCAAGGTGTTTGCGGATGACCTGGAGGGGTTGGGGGGATTCTGCACCAGGGCCGGGGAGCATATAAACATGTTTTTTGGCAAGGAGATGGTCTGCCAGGAGGAGGACATTCTGACGGAGGAGAAGGTGGACATTCTCGAGAACGTGATTCTTCCCGAGGCGGCGAAGATGCACAGCGAGCGTCTGCTGGTGCGGCCACTGGATGGCCCGCTGGTCGTGCCGAGGTTCCGTGAGGGCAGTGTTTGCGGGAAGTTTCCAGTGCCGGAGGAGGACCACACGGATGGGGTGCCCGATGCGGACATGGTGCTGTACGCGACTGCTGTTCCGACGTTCAAGCCGACCTTTGCGTGGGCGATGCCGTGCGCGACGTTGGGCCCGCGAGGGCGTCCTGTTGTTGGCGTCATCAACTACAACCCGCGCCACATCGAGAACACGTCGCAGCACATCCGCGTGGCTGTGCACGAGATGGCGCACGCCCTCGGCTTCATTGTGGCGGACATGGAGGAGCAGGCGCTGGTGAAGCGGGAGGTGGGTGTGCGTGGGAGGAGCAGTGTCCGCGTTGTGAATTCCCGGAATACACTGGAGCAGGCAAGGCGCCACTACGGCTGCGAGTCAGCGCCGGGCATGGAGCTGGAGTTTGTGCCGCCAATGCGGAATCTGGCGGCGCCAGGAGGAAGAGGAAGGGGTGCTAGGCCAGGAGAAAGGAGAGAAAGAGGAGGAGGAAGAAGTTTTCCTGATCTGCCAGGAGGAAGAGGAGGAAGAGGAGCTGGTAGGCTGCCAGCGGAGCCAGTGAGGAGAAGAGCGAGAGAACGTATTCTCAGGCTGCGTGCGGCCCAACATATTTCCGCATCAACGCAGGCAGCGGCGGACGGAACCCTCTCAACGGGCACCACGCTCACGGTGGTGGAGAAGCAGTGGAGGCCGCCTTCGTGGCTTGGCCTGATGTCTCACTGGGGACGGCGGAACGCAAAGGATGAGCTGATGGCGAGCTTCGTTGTTTCCGGCTACTACACCGCGATCACGATGGCACTGTTCACCGACCTCGGCTACTACAAGGCAAACTTCGAGATGGCGGAGCCGATGAGCTGGGGCAGCGGAGCCGGCTGCGCGCTGCTGACCGACAAGTGCGTGACGGACGGTGCCACGCTGTACCCTGATATGTTCTGCACCGACTCGAGCGACGCCACTCTGCGGTGCACGTCTGATCGCCAGTCGCTGGGGACCTGCGCAATTTACCAGGACGATAACATCCCACCGGAGTTCCAGTACTTCGCCACCAAGCAGGGCTCCAGGCGAGGGGCCATGATGGAGTACTGCCCCTTCATCGCGCCAATGAATGGCACTGGATGCATGGATGGCGACGAGGCCATCATGCCTGGGAGCGTTGTTGGCCCGTCCTCGCGCTGCTTGACTGGGGAGAACCTCCGGATGGGCAGTACGGTTGTTGGTGACGTGTGCGTGCAGTTGAGGTGTGGTGAGGGCACGCTAAGTGTGCGGTACAGGGGCAGCGAGGAGTGGCATCCCTGTGCACCGGGACAGACGCTGACGCCCCCGGCGCCATTCACGGCGGGCAGCATAAGATGCCCCTTGTTCAGCGACGTCTGCCTCACCATGTTGAAGCACAGTGATGCGAGCAGCGCTTTGGCGGTCACTTCTGCGCCGCTTCTTCTCCTCATTGTGATCGGCACGGTGATTGTCGCACCCTGACCCGTACCTGTTGCCGACACCGCACCTCCCCTGCTCCATTGGGCCTCTCTTGGAATCCTTTTGCTATAGGAGCTCAGACATTTTTTTTCTTTTTTTTTCTATTGTTTTTTTTTTTTTTATGTTTTTTATTGCTTTGTTTTCTGCCGCGGTGAGCCAAAGTCTTTTCGCCCTCTCCCGGCTACAAGAGTGCCTGTGACTTCTCATTGGCCTCACCGCCCGGCGGAGGACATTATGTAAGGTGTGTGTAGGACGTTTGCTTTGGAAATGACCGGTGCTGAAGTCATGCATCCCCTCTGGCTGTGGTGCATCTGTGTGTTCAGAGGCGTGTTGGCGGAGCGACAGCGCAGGGAACTGACTTCTTCCCCATTTCCCAATGTTTTTCTTTTATTATTATTATTATTATTATTATTATTATTATTATTATTATTATTATTATTATTGCGCATTGCGACATCCCGTGAAAACGCGCCGAGGGTTTGAAAGAAGTCTTTTTTCGGTGATGGCGGAGGCACCTGATAATAGGTTTTTCTTTTTTTCTCTTTTGTGGACGGGCACCGAATGAATGTGCGGGTGTTTTACTTCCTTCTTGTTGGGCTCACTGGGGATGTGTCAGCGCTCTGGGGCGGTAGCTGTGTTGTGTTTTTGGAGTGGAGGCGGGTCTTGCCCGATTGCCTGTTTCTTCTTTTTGTTGCCTCTCTTGTTGCTTAGGATGTTTTACTCGGCTGCCCTCTCGCGGGATGGACCGGCCGTTCGTTTTTTCTTGCCCCACAGCCACCACCACCTCTGCGGTGTGAGTGCTGCCTCCGATGCTGACGGCCAGCGAAAACACAGGCGCCGTGCTTGCAACGATCACTTCGCCTGCACCTGTGCTGCCCCAGATCCCACGGCCATTGCGCGGAGGGGAAGGAGTGCTGTGCGTGCGTGAGTGGAGCGTGCTCCGTGGGTGAGGCGGCGGCCGTATATCATCATTTCTGTGCCGTGACTGTCTCAATCGGGTCCGCAAGGGCAGCACCGACGGCGTGAAACGCGCAGGGCGACTGACGACCTCATGATGCGATCAATCGAGGCATTTGTATGACCGTGACGATGAGTTACACCTCCGTGCACCCAGCTACCTACAACAGGCACGGGACTGACGTGCCCCTTCCCTCCACAGCCCTCTCCGCCGCCTTCTCCCTCTCTGTCTCTCTGTGCCACGGTGCACCACCTCGCCTCCTCCGTCGTGCCGGAGTGTGCTTCCCGGGCTGTGGCGGGCCACTGTTTGCCCCCTTGTTTCCTATGGGGGTCTGCCGTGCATGTGATGCGTCCCGATCGTCTTTATCCTAACAAAGCGTCTGACTCGTTTGCGTGAGGTGCACTCTGTACCCGTCTCTGATGGCATTGCCACCCCCATTTTTCTACCATTGCGCAGCCTCCGGAGGGGAGTCTTGCCGAGTTGCGGAGGGCGACGCACTCCTGCTGGCGGAGGCGGACCACACGCCACTGCGATCGAAGGCCATTGATATCCCGCGGCATTTGGACTGGTGTGTGCCAACAGCTGGTCGCAAAATGATTGTGCGGTACAGAGCTGTGGAGTGCAAAGAGGACTGCGACGGATTTGTGCCGTGCTCGACTGCTGCTTTTGCCCTGCGCGTGCCTGTTTGTGTTGGGGCCATTTTATTTCTCTTGTGTGTTTGTTCTATTGTCGTCTTGTGCGCACTTTTGCTGTGGATGCAGGAATAGTTTTGAACGCTAGAAACAAGCTACTCACAATGTTTCGCCAGCTCCGCCAGCTTTGCTGCGCGCTGCTCCTGTTGCTGTGCACCGGTGGCGGCCTCGTCATTGCGGTGCCGCACCATTGCGTGTTTGATCTCTTGCCACGGAACGTTGGCGAAGTGACGGGCGGGGAGGAGCCGGCCAGTCCTGTCACTGTGTCCGTGGGCAGTGACTGGGCGCCCCTCCGAATCAAGGTGTTTGCGGATGACCTGGAGGGGTTGGGGGGATTCTGCACCAGGGCCGGGGAGCATATAAACATGTTTTTTGGCAAGGAGATGGTCTGCCAGGAGGAGGACATTCTGACGGAGGAGAAGGTGGACATTCTCGAGAACGTGATTCTTTCCGAGGCGGCGAAGATGCACAGCGAGCGTCTGCTGGTGCGGCCGCTGGATGGCCCGCTGGTCGTGCCGAGGTTCCGTGAGGGCAGTGTTTGCGGGAAGTTTCCAGTGCCGGAGGAGGACCACACGGATGGGGTGCCCGATGCGGACATGGTGCTGTACGCGACTGCTGTTCCGACGTTCAAGCCGACCTTTGCGTGGGCGATGCCGTGCGCGACGTTGGGCCCGCGAGGGCGTCCTGTTGTTGGCGTCATCAACTACAACCCGCGCCACATCGAGAACACGTCGCAGCACATCCGCGTGGCTGTGCACGAGATGGCGCACGCCCTCGGCTTCATTGTGGCGGACATGGAGGAGCAGGCGCTGGTGAAGCGGGAGGTGGGTGTGCGTGGGAGGAGCAGTGTCCGCGTTGTGAATTCCCGGAATACACTGGAGCAGGCAAGGCGCCACTACGGCTGCGAGTCAGCGCCGGGCATGGAGCTGGAGTTTGTGCCGCCAATGCGGAATCCGGCGGCGCCAGGAGGAAGAGGAAGGGGTGCTAGGCCAGGAGAAAGGAGAGAAAGAGGAGGAGGAAGAAGTTTTCCTGATCTGCCAGGAGGAAGAGGAGGAAGAGGAGCTGGTAGGCTGCCAGCGGAGCCAGTGAGGAGAAGAGCGAGAGAACGTATTCTCAGGCTGCGTGCGGCCCAACATATTTCCGCATCAACGCAGGCAGCGGCGGACGGAACCCTCTCAACGGGCACCACGCTCACGGTGGTGGAGAAGCAGTGGAGGCCGCCTTCGTGGCTTGGCCTGATGTCTCACTGGGGACGGCGGAACGCAAAGGATGAGCTGATGGCGAGCTTCGTTGTTTCCGGCTACTACACCGCGATCACGATGGCACTGTTCACCGACCTCGGCTACTACAAGGCAAACTTCGAGATGGCGGAGCCGATGAGCTGGGGCAGCGGAGCCGGCTGCGCGCTGCTGACCGACAAGTGCGTGACGGACGGTGCCACGCTGTACCCTGATATGTTCTGCACCGACTCGAGCGACGCCACTCTGCGGTGCACGTCTGATCGCCAGTCGCTGGGGACCTGCGCAATTTACCAGGACGATAACATCCCACCGGAGTTCCAGTACTTCGCCACCAAGCAGGGCTCCAGGCGAGGGGCCATGATGGAGTACTGCCCCTTCATCGCGCCAATGAATGGCACTGGATGCATGGATGGCGACGAGGCCATCATGCCTGGGAGCGTTGTTGGCCCGTCCTCGCGCTGCTTGACTGGGGAGAACCTCCGGATGGGCAGTACGGTTGTTGGTGACGTGTGCGTGCAGTTGAGGTGTGGTGAGGGCACGCTAAGTGTGCGGTACAGGGGCAGCGAGGAGTGGCATCCCTGTGCACCGGGTCAGACGCTGACGCCCCCGGCGCCATTCACGGCGGGCAGCATAAGATGCCCCTTGTTCAGCGATGTCTGCCTCACCATGTTGAAGCACAGTGATGCGAGCAGCGCTCTGGCGGTCACTTCTGCGCCGCTTCTTCTCCTCCTCATTGTGATCGGCACGGTGATTGTCGCACCCTGACCCGTACCTGTTGCCGACACCGCACCTCCCCTGCTCCATGGGCCTCGCTTGGAATCCTCTTGCTATAGGAGCTCAGACATTTTCTTTTTTTTTTTTCTTTTTTTTTCTTTTTTTTTTCTTTTTTATAATATGATGTTTTTTATAATACGATTTTTTTTATTGCTTTGTTTTCTGTCGCGGTGAGCCAAAGTCTTTTCGCTCTCTCCCGGCTACAAGAGTGCCTGTGACTTCTCATTGGCCTCACCGCCCGGCGGAGGACATTGTGTAAGGTGTGTGTAGGACGTTTGCTTTGGAAATGACCGGTGCTGAAGTCATGCGTCCCCTCTGGCTGTGGTGCATCTGTGTGTTCGGAGGCGTGTTGGCGGAGCGACAGCGCAGGGAACTGACTTCTTCCCCATTTCCCAATATTTTTCCTTTACTATTATTATTGCGCACTGCGACATCCCGTGAAAACGCGCCGAGGGTTTTGAAAGAAGCCTTTTTTTGTTGATGGCGGAGGCGCCTGATAATAGGTTTTTCTTTTTTTCTCTTTTCTGGACGGGCACCGAATGGATGTGCGGGTGTTTTACTTCCTTCTTGTTGGGCTCACTGGGGATGTGTCAGCGCTCTGTGGCGGTAGTTGTGTTGTGTTTTTGGAGTGGAGGCGGGTCTAGCCCGATTGCCTGTTTCTTCTTTTTGTTGCCTCTCTTGTTGCTTAGGATGTTTTGCTCGGCTGCCCTCTCGCGGGATGGACCGGCCGTTCGTTTTTTTCTTACCCCACTGCCACCACCACCTCTGCGGTGTGAGTGCTGCCTCCGATGCTGACGGCCAGCGAAAACACAGGCGCCGTGCTTGCAACGATCACTTCGCCTGCACCTGTGCTGCCCCAGATCCCACGGCCATTGCGCGGAGGGGAAGGAGTGCTGTGCGTGCGTGAGTGGAGCGTGCTCCGTGGGTGAGGCGGCGGCCGTATATCATCATTTCTGTGCCGTGACTGTCTCAATCGGGTCCGCAAGGGCAGCACCGACGGCGTGAAACGCGCAGGGCGACTGACGACCTCATGATGCGATCAATCGAGGCATTTGTATGACCGTGACGATGAGTTACACCTCCGTG